TCTAAAATTCTAGTTATTGTATATATATATATATATATATATACACAATGAATTAATGAGTTTTTCAAACTTGAAATTGAAAATTTACCAAAAAGTATATTTATAATTTTAAGTATATGTACTTTCTGACGATGGTTGCAATTTTGAACATGAATTCTTTAAGATGAGCCTTGACAATGAATCTAAAAGTATAATATTTTTCAATAAGGTATATTAGTAGATTCAACTGTTAAGTTTTATTTCTTATTGCTTTTCTATTTTTAAGGCTCATTTTTAAAGGACATTTCATTTTCAAATTTTATTTTCCTGCTATGGAAGTATTTTATTTGTAAGCACTACTTTAAAATTTTTGACAGTAAATTAAATGTTTGGTTGTAATTTGTTTATTGTTAGTTAAATTCCATCCCCTCCTTTTTCAAAATACATATATAAATAAGTTTCTCACAGAAAACTAGGATGCAATCATTTTTCTTTAGAAATGCTTTCTTGTAAGCCGACACTCAGAAAAGAAAGAAATTTAAAGACTAGGTTTAAAAACAGAGTGTCAAGGATTCAGAGAGTGATTTATCTTCTCTCCAGAAATGTACAAAGCTTAGAATTTTTCTTATACCTGTTCCATACAATTAGCAACTACTGGGCTGCGATACAGGAAATGACCCCTTGCAGAGAAGTAAATCTTTCGAAACACCAATCTTCCATTGCCCCATGCATTATATTAAAACTATTGTCATCTTAGAAAATAATTCTTCAAAAAATTTCTTGCAACATTTGCTTTCGCTCCTTGAAAACTAACTCTAATTATCGTGTTGACCCTAGAATAACTTCAGTTTCACTTAGAATGTATTATTGCTTAAAAAGAAAGCTCAAAATGAAATATGCTACCTCTTTTTTTTTCCCTACAGTTCACTAATAAAATAACTAAAAGCATATCGTTTAGTAAAAGTAGATTTAATATAAAACTTCGAAGTAGTGTAAATAAAGGGAGTATATACTCTTTTTCAAGTCTCCCAAAAGCTGAAAATAGATCATTCTCAAAGTCTAAAATAATTTTTGTGACATGGAATATTTTCGCACTATATTTAATTGTTAAAAAGATTATTAACTGCAAAACTTTTCTGATGCAAAAACTTTTAAAAAATTATCTCTCATTGGTGTTGTTGGAATTTCATGAAGTTTTTGCGTTTGTGATTTCTTGAATAATGTTTGTTTCTTCCTTTTTCTAGATCACTAATTCCTAACTAAATTGAAAATAATTCGTTTACAGCTTCTCAATCTGATTTTTATTCTTATTTCAGAATAAATGTTTTATTAACTTATAAAATTGAAATTTTAATAATGGTATCAGAATCAATACAGTTATATTCGTGTTTACTGAGTATACAATTATATTGCTCATCAGTCATCATAACATAGTTTCTATTTAATGAAAAAATTTTGTTGATTTTAGAAATGAAGGATTTTAAACCCGTTTTTATAAAGCTCTTACCTGAAATTTATGAATAGTAGTTTGTAAAAAAGATTTTCTTCAATGCGTTACTTCTTATCAAATTAAATACCACTTTAAAATAATTTTTATTTTTAAAAATTTCTCAAGTGTACATATAAGAAATTCTTTTGGTAATCTTAACTCTAGACTTTTAATACTAGTTTGGATTTTGTTAATGCTGAATATATTTTAATTAATCAGATTTGAAAAATATTTTGTGAAAGAAAATATATGCAAGGAGTGTGAAGCAAGCCTGCAACATACATTACGATCTTACTCTAGTGAGCTTCCAATAAATGTGAATATATAAAAAAAGGAAATTGAAATTTTATAGAAATATAGAGAATTAAAACATAAACATAGGAATGCTAATTTTTTCTTCTTTTTTTTTTACATTACGAGTAGAAAATTGTTTCATTCTGAGAATACTTTCTTATTAAAAAGTGATTTTTTTAAAACTAAAATATATGATTTTCATTACAGAAACCAACATTTAAATTAAATCACAAAATATGAAATTTGAATGAAATATTTAGTTTTCCTGATTGAAATTTTAAGCCTGGTCATATTATTACATGCTAACTGAAAATTAGGTTCAAATTCTGTTTAGTATGGCTACATATTTTTAAACTTGGCGTATGCAAAGGATATATGATTATTCATACTTTTGAGGGAAGATAGATTGGATCATAAGTTAGCAAGAAATTGAAAAAAAAAAACTTTTTGATCACTGTGTGTTGGAGATATTTTGGATTAATCTGCAATTTTTTCCAATAGTGTTTACTGATATGCATAGAGACTGGATATATAAATAATTATGAAGAAATCCTAAAAATAGAACCATTTCAAGGATATAAATTCATAAATGTAGACTATGATCTTTGGGTTTTTTTAAATTTACGTTTGTTTATTATAGGTCCGTTATTTTTATTGCTAAAACAATTTTCTTTTCTTTTTTTTTGTTCAATTAATGATTTGTTATAAAATCAAAAATTTATATAATTCAAAAGTCCAATAAAAATAATACTGAAAAATATGTTGAAATCAATAGCAAATTTAAGTTTATGTTCTTCCCTTATTCTTCTTTAGACTGAAAAAGGTAGAGATTTTAAACAAAAACAACAAGAGGAAATTCTCAAAAACTTTTGCCATTAACCACTTAAGATTTTAATTTTAAACTTGTTTCAAGCTATTCTCTTAGTCATTACCTTATAGTTTATACCTTGCAATGTCTATGGCATGCACAATGTGACTAATACTATTAAATATTCATAGATATGAAGACAAAAAAAAAGATTTCGCCAAAATTTTTCAAATTCAATTTGTTTGAAACATTGGCCTATTTAAAATCAAACCTACTTTAAATAATAATTTCTCTCTAGGTATCCACCCACAAATCAATATAAAACCTGAAAAAAATTGGAGAACTGTAAAGAAATGTGAAAATGAATGCTCTTTGGATATCTTCTTATATTAAAGTTTAAAACTAAATTTTTTATTGAGTTGTACAAAGAATAATTTTTTAGGGTGATTAGGGAGTGTGCTCGTTTTCAACAACACCAATGTTTATTTGGGCCACAATCTGCTTTAAGTAAGAATTTTCACTTAAAAAAATACTTAAAAAAACTACACTTAAAAAAAATGAGGAAAATTTTTTCTTTTAAGTAGTTACTTTTAGGCAAGGATAAAAAAAAGTCTTAAATAGCTGCTTAAGCGGAGAATTTAAATATTTTTTTCTATAGAATATATTTTGGTTCTCCAAAATTCTACTTTAAGCGGGTTATTCAAATATCAGTTATGCAATTAAGTGGGGGCAACTGTATAAGGACTTTAACTAAAAAGAAAAAAAAGCAATTCTGTTTAATTGATAGCGCATGTGTTACAAAATCGAAAATGTTGGAAACAATTGTCTATAAAGACCAAGCAGCAGAGAAATAGGGAAAAAAATGAACTATATTTTCTCTCTAAGAAAGGCTATAAATGTGATTGATGCTACTTCAGTTTACGAATCCTTAATGGAAGAACAAAATTTTATAGGGCAAATATTTAAAAAATATTTATCCAGACTTCAATAATTAAGCATTTTATCAAAGGGTTATCAAGCCATGTCATTTCTTTAAAAGTAATATCATGGTTTAGATTAAATAAAAGAAAAAGATTGCTACACTGCAAAATTAAATATAAAAAAATGTAAAAAAAATAGAAAATAGAAAATTAAAGGATCTTAAAAGCAATTATAAATAATATGCATAGTGATGATAAACACTAAATCAATAAAAATCTAATAATAAAAAAGAAAGAAACATCAACTACATAATATTGTTTTAAACTTTTTTTATATTTATTATTTTGAGTTATTTTTTAAAAAACTGGAATAAAATTTATCTAATAATCTTTATCAATGAGGAAGGTGAGGACCATACAGTTATGTCTTTTAAATATAAATTGTAAAAAGATTAAAACATTCTGGAAACAAACATTGCTTTTTTTGCACAAGGATTAAAAAAAGATAGTTGAAAAGTAAACTTCAAAACGGGTTTCATCAATCAAACTGTCATTCATTCCCTTGGCTGACCACATAGAGCGTGAATAATTCCCTTAACAGCAAATGGAAAAAAAAGGGGGGGAGGCATTCTCATTGTCTGACCCTTGACGTTTCAGGTAGAATTCTGTTAACTATGCCTGCCCTTCTAAGAGTAAAATTATTTCAAGTAAGCGCCACCAAGAGGGTTAATCATTAGGTGCCATTTTGGAGCTATAGTTTACATTAATTATTCTTTATTTCTAAAATTATTATAATATTAAAATAATGCACAAATTCTCTTACCTACAAATAAAATCAGCATGCTATAGTTTTATTTATTACTTAAAAATAAACTATTTCTAAAAATTATGGGCTAATAAAATTTATTATTAAAAATAAAACCATTAGTGGACCTGTAATTTTCTTTAACTGTATTTTAGGTTTATTCACAATTTAATTAGGGGTTCTGAATTTAAATATTGATTTAAATACAAAGTAATTATCAGTGGAGAATTTTCCCTCTTTCTGCTTCAAAATAAAGTTTTTCATGTTATATATAATTTACCCCAAACCACAGTGAGACTATATTATGGAGCATTGTATAAAAAGTGGCATATACTGTTTTGTATATAATAGTTGGCCTAAGATTTTTAAATCTTAAACTATAAGTTAAATGATTAGTCACACATTAAGACTGTGAGTGACATTTAGACGATGAAATTAAGCTATTTAGGATAAATGTTGAAAAATTTATAACCGAAACCAACTTTGATTATGAGTTATAGATATAGATAAACAATTAAATTTGGATTTCTTTAATAGATTTGGTGCATCTAAGACAAAAATGGATATAAGAATATGGAATTATTTACTACCTTCAACAATTATACAAGTCAGCATTTTAAAATAGAGAAAAGGGATTTGTTTAAAATCCTTAAAATATATATGTATCTTATAATGTCCTTCATATTTCACAAATTTAATACTTACAACCAAATATTCTCCCAATTCAACTTGACCATTTTTATTTAAGTCCACTTCATTCATCATATCATGTAAGGCGTCATCATCAACTTTTTCCCCTTGAGCCTAAAAAGAATTAATGAGCTATAATTAAAGAAAGCTTCTAAAAAGAAGTGTTGGTAATTAGTTTTTAAGAAATATATAGTATTTTATAACAATAAACAAGAGGATGGCGATGTAAACAATCCTTGTAACCTTGACAACAGTTGATAAAAAGTTTTCCCAGTTTTTCGTTTGCAAATGGAATTAGCTTTAATAATATTTTTTTAAAATTTTCTGGCATAAAACTACATTGGTAAAAAAAAAGATATTTTGTGGAATATTTTAATTGTTCTCTTTTATAAATAAATCTCTATTTATAATATAAGGTGTTCTTTCACAAAAAGGTATTGCCAGACCAAAAGTAATGAAATAGATAATAATTTTAGATGTTCAAATGTTAGATAGAATATTAATCAATCTTATATAGCATTAGCTCCAAAATTAGTGGATAGGATTCAGGAGTCTAGCATTTTCCAGCACAGCAGTATTGTATTGCATCTATCTGACAATAAATAATATAGTTGTGTTCCTAGGTAACTTTATTTATTAATGATAACTGTTACTGTTTTATTTGCGTGTTTATAAACCTCTGCAAAGTGGACATAGGATTTACAAGTCGAAAAGCAAAACTTGTTGCTGTCCTTAAAACACATAAAATCTAACTTTCATATTTTGTAAGCTTTTGAAAACAATAGTTTCTTTTGATTCTTGAAATAACTTTTATTAATATGCTAAAATATTAATTTCTAATTCTTTCATACACTTATTTTAAGCTATAACGAAATATATAGTGATTTACGTTTTTGTTAATGTGTACTAAATGTGAGGAATTCTTTCACTAAAATTGTGAAACAATGCAAGCATACATATAAGTATAAAAAGAAACCATCAGCAATTTTTTAAAAAAAAGTTAAAAAAGCACTCCCTCTTTGTGTAAATCTATAAACCGTTCTTACATAAGGGTTTTTATTGTGCCCTGGACATTTTTCAGTAAATATGGATACATGGAAAACAGAGGTTTTTGAAGGTTTTTTGACATTGAATAATTAAAACAGATGGTAGATGAATAAAAGTTAAGTAATAAAAAGGATTCTTCGATTACATTTTCATTTTTGCAATTTTACTTTTTTATTTATATTTTAAAACTTTTTATGGATCATTTACCATTACTAATTTATAGAGGCTCACTCTTATTGAGGAGTGGCACCTTTTTTGAAAAAGATGGTAAGGCTGAAAACTGAGACTTTCAATGCTCAAGTATGTAGAACTTTCATCAATCTGGAATTATATGATTCTCAAGCATTCTGGATAGTTGAGCTTCTAGTGTATGTAACAACAAAAAGATATGTCCTCCCATCTTAATTAGTATTGAGAGAATTGCTTAAAAGGTGTGTTTTTGTGTGAAATTTCTTAATATGATAAACATTTAGAAATCAAGAAGATCTCTTATTACATAAAATTTCATACATTAGATTAAACGCTGTTCAGATTGTTTCATAGTTTTTTCACCTGCAAAATGAACAGAGGATAATATTTCGAATGTAATGAATATTCAGCCCTTTTGCCGAATACACGGCCAAATAATCAGCTAAGTATTTTTCAACAAAGCTTTTCCTTTTTTTTGGAATTTGAATTTATTTGATAAAGAGTAATCTAAAATCGTATCTTTTACTATACATTATTAGAAATAGTTTTTACACATATATAAGCTCTAAAACTTGAAAATTTATGTTCTGAAAGGCATATAAAAGAACGAAATTTAAAGAATTTAAACTAGATTACTTTATACTTAACCATGAGTTTTGTACAACTGACTTAGTTTTAAAATTAAATTTAGGCAAATCAATTTCGCTGCTTTTTCAACATTTTCTCTTTTAAAAATTGAGAATATTTTTGTTTTGCTTTTTTGTTGTTTTGTTTTTGCTGTTTTCTGTTTTTACTATAGAGCAGTATTTTAGCAAAGCATTTCTAATAGACTTAATTCTTTCACTGTCACTTTTTCTGTACCGCAAAAGAGATAACCAATAACATAGAAAACTGTGATTTTCAACATTAAAATTATATTTTAAGAACAACAAATTTTTCTTCTATTACCTTTTTGCTTTTTTGTAAGCTTTTCTTTTATCAGCATTTTTATCATGACACTAGAAACTATATGTTAACTGTGTGGATCATTGAAAAGGTATCCTCAACGAAGAGTCATGATAACTTATAAGTATACTTAATTACCAACAAAAACACATATGTATTACAAAATAACACGCTTGCAATTAGGTAACAGAAGATTAGCAACAAACATAAATTAGTAAAGTCCTTTTATACTCTCTGGATTGTGAGGCAGTGGCGCTCGCTGTTCCTTAAAGAAAGATTGTCGTAATTGATGATGGAAAGTGACGTCGGCTCACAACACAATACTTTGAACTGGTCCTTGAACCTGCTTGGTCGAACGATAGTATGTCTTGGTCTCAAAGTTCTTGAAGTCTGTTCTGGTACTGGAACAGAAGACGACTCTAGTTTCGAGATTGTAGGCTCAACTACAGTACTCTGAGAATTCACACGAGTAGGTATTGAAGACAGTACTTCAATCTCAGGACTCTGTGACTCACCAGACAGGGATACTACACTAGGATCAGAAGAAATGATCATATGATCAGGAATATACTTTTGCATTTGATCTACATGATGTTTTACTATATCATCACCTGTTCTAACAGCTTGGTAAGAAACTGGACTCGTGGGTTTAATGACTGTTGCTGGAAACCATTTTGGACCTTGTTTATAGTTCTTCACAAAAACTGGATGGTCAACACTGAACGATCTTTGAAGAAAATCGCCATATTTTTTACACACATCTTGTTCCTGGCTCAACTTTCTCTCAACCGTCAGATCTGGATGGAGTCTATCTAACACAGTTCTCAGCTTCTTGCCCATCAGCAGTTCTGCAGGACTAGGACCTATTGTCATGGTAAGAGTGCAATGTTGTTGAAGAAGGAATTTCGCTAGATGTTTCTTCCAATTTCCTTTCACGATACATCTTAGTGAATCTTTCACGGTCTTGACTGTTCTTTCAGCTTGACCTTCTCAGGACGGACGTCTTGGAGCGATCATAACCTTTTAGATGAGATTCCTCTCCAAGAAAGTCTGGTATTCTCATGCTTGAAACTGGACTCTGTTATCGGAAACGATGACTTCAGGTATTCTATGGGTAGCAAAAATTTGTCGGAGGACTGTTGCAGAGGCGGATGCTGAAGTCATATGACACACTTCTATTCACTTTGACATGGCACCTACTACGAAAAGGAATGCGCTTATCTCTGGAATAGATTGGCAAAGTCTATATCAAGATTCTCAAGGATGCACCGGATCTCCCAAAGATGAACTGAAGTTTAAGGAGGTAATGATGTGTTTGTTGATATTCTTGGTATCTCTGAACATGCATTTCCATGTCATAGTTCATGCCTGGCCATAATACATATAAACGTGCGAGAGCTTTAATCCTTTCAATTCCAGGATGTCCCAGATGTAGAACTTGGAAAATACATGATTTTTCCAACACCGGAATTACTACTCTGTTACCCCTTAATAAACAATTTCAATGGGCAGAAAGTTTGTTACGTTTCGATAAAAAAGTCTGAAATGTTTCATCCGGTTTTTCATTTGGCTATCTTCTCAAAATCCAATTTAGAAGTCTCAACAAAGTTGGATTGCGCAAAGTTAATTATGAAACTACTGTTGTCGGAAGAGGAGGATCTTGTAAATCTTCGTTAAACAATACCTCGTACCTCAAATTTATCAGTTTCTTTTGGAAGTCTGCTTAAAGAATCAGCATTTTGAATTTTTTTTCTGGTCTATGAATTAAAGTATATTCACATGCATTATGTATAAAATACCATCTCAGCATAAGCAGACACAAAATTTCTTTAGTATGCTTTTTTTTAAAAATAAATTCTAAGCAGGGGCTGATGATCAGTTATAATAGCGAATTTATGCTTGTAAATAAAATGATGAAATTTTTTTATGCCAAAAACAATTGCCAACTTCTCTTTGTATATTTGCGCATAGTTTCTTTCTGTTGATGTGAGCGTACACAAAGAAAAAGTTATCGGTGCTCAACTACTATGATCAAGAAAATGACTTAAGACAGCTCCTACGCTAAATGAAGAGGCATTGCAGGCTAAGGTAATCAGTAATTTCTCATCAAATGGAACCAAAACTACTTCGGAACTTAACGATTCTTTTAAATATCTAAAATCTTCATATTGGACTTTAGACCATTTCTACACTGAATCCCCATCTAGAAATCCATGTAATACTTCAGCTTTAGTAGCCTTACCTTTTAGATAACAATTATAAAACTTCATCAAACAAAAAAACGACTGTAACTGGAACCTATTTTTAGGTACCAGAAAAGCATGAATCACTTTTACTTTACTTTTTGATGTAGGGATGCCCTTTGCATCGATACGGTAGCCCAAAAAATCTACTTTAGTTACCCTGATTAAACATTTGTCCTTATTTGCTTTAAAGATCTGCTTTTTGCAAATGCTCTAGTACTTGTTTCAAATGAGCGGCTAACTCTTTTTCAGAACTTTTTTTAGCAAGTACATCATCAAAATAAGGACATTTAAAATTTATGAAATAATCAAGTACTAGCGATTAGGTCACAGAAGATTAGCAACAAATATCAATTAGTAAAGTCCTTATACAATCTCTGAATCGCGAGGCAGCGCAGCTGTTACATAACTAAAGACTGTCGTCATTCATTTGTTAATGATGACGGAAAATGAAGTCAGTTAACATCACAACACTATATCTCTTTTAATGCATTATCGATACTGCTTTTCCGAAAAATATTATTTTTAGTATTAAAAGTTTGCTTTTAGAATTATGAGGATTTTTCTCCTATTTCTCTTTTTTTTCCAACTTTACAATTTCATTTTTTAGTAGTTATTAGTCAGTTTTTTATTTATCTTAATTATTTCTAATGGATAACTATAATAGTTTTTTCCCTTTGCCTCATACTAATAACATAGTTAAGCTTTGATTATTTTTAAATAATGACAAAACATATTTATAAATAAAATGTTGCTATTTAACGGTCAAATATTCTGTATTAGACGAACATTCGGTATTCGGCTAAATCACTATTCTTTACATCCCTAGATAATATACATAAAATATAAATGCAAATATCTTGCACTAAATGCAAATTATAACTTGCCCAAATAGCCCCTGGTTCTTTAACATAGACAGCTTAATTTACAATATGAAAAACCTCAGTCTTTCCTTTATGCTCAGTTCCTATGCATAAAATATATTAATTTAAAAAAAAATTAAGAATTTATTTTTTATTCTTTCAAACTCATGACAGAATTATTTAAAAAACATAATACTTCAACTAGAGTTCCAGAATAGCATTTCTGCCTCACTACAACTCTGTATAAAATTTGCTTTTAGACCTTTGCACAGATTAGATAAAATCATAATAAATGTAATAATGTACTATAATCTATAAAAATAATAAATTAGTGAGAAATCCTTAGTACTTAATAAATGATTATGGACTTCAAAGAATACATTATAAGAATTCAAGCTTTTTGTTATAAGCTATTTACATTGTCCCAAACGTTTTCACACATGTCCCAGAAAAGCTTATGTTTGGTTAATTAAAATTTATTTGTTTGAACGGTTTGAAATTTATTTGTTTGAATGGTAAAAAAGCCTGACAAAAATAAGAAGTTGAACCCAAAAGCTTGTAACAGTGAGTATTTATACTACCAGGCCAAGTTTCTACCATTTTTGTTTCAAAAAATCAATTACTTGGCATATAAATAAATTTTCTGAACCAGTTTCATTTATTTCATTTTGCATTAATTAATCACCTTAATACTCTGTCGAAGGTCACTGAAAGTAATATATCCCTTTTTATCTTTATCCAAAGTTTGAAATTTTTTTGTGTATGCAAATACTTCCTCTTTAGTTAAATTAGTAGGAGTTTCTCTTGCTTGACGGTTAACATCTTGTCCCATTTCAGTCTGAAGAAATTCTAGAGCTTTTTTGTGTTCTTCCTAAAATTGAAAATGATTATAGATATTAGCAAGACAATTTAATATTCCAGCAAAAAAGAATGCATACAGACATATAAATGTCAATACACATATAAATGACAAATATACAGATGACATACATATAAATGACAGAATACATGCATACATATAAATGACAAATTTTTTTATTTTTATTACTACAATAATCCTTAATGATAATTAAAAATGCATTGGAAGTTCATCAAGGCTAACATGAGTAAACAAAAGGGAAAAAAAACAAAAATAAATAAATAAAAAATAAAATTATTATATTAGTTTAAAAAATAAATGTTATAATAAATACATCAAAGCATTATCAGTAATATCATTCAGAATAAAAAATAATTTAGATAAATCTTACAGCTTTGTTCAAGAAGTTAATTGGTACTAAGTGAATTGTAAATATTTAAGTCGAAATATCAATATTCTTGTTTTCATTAATTATTGATCCGAGGATACCCCTTTTAAAAGATGAGGCACATCAACAAAATTCGTAAGGGTTAAAGAAAGCAAGCAATATTGTTCAAAAGGAAAGATAAAGTGTGTGTAACAAAATTAATTTGTATAACATTACTTAAAACTTCTATGATTTTGATTTTATAAGCTTAATTCTCCAGATTTAGCAAAACATAATAAAAATAGTATTATTTGATCCACTAAATGAACAGAGTTTTAAACAGTGTCAGTTTACTTTGTGTTATACCCGTATCAGCAGTATTCAAAGTCACAAACTTTGGCTATTGTCTCCTTGTTGAGCTCTCAGTACTGGGCACACTGGGTTGCCACAGTACAGTTGAAGTGCAATGAGTACACTTTAATAAATAGACGTTACGTCACCACTTTGATTTATTAACTTTTGTAAAGTAGAGGATATAAGTTGAATCTATTTTTGACAGTTTCATCTTGTTAACACAGGTTTAAAACTCAGAGAAGAAACCAGAGCTCTCAATTTGATAGCAGAAAAGTAATACTGGCATAAAACTATTATTGAAGTTTGAGTTAAGCTAAGTTTTATAGGTATGAATTAGGGTTTGAAAATGTGAAAATTTTTACATACCTTGCCAGGCATGATAGTCTATTAAGCCCAACAATCTTTTATGACTGTGTATTAATTAAAGTACATAAATGTACCTATTTCTAATCTATTAAAAAATCTAAATCAATACTTTTATTTTAAGCATAAATCAGAAATATTAAGTATTGCAGGGTGACTGACTGATTTCAAAATAAAAACTCTTGTAAAGAAAGGATGATAGACAAATGAAGCAAATGGTATGCCTATTGTAAATGCTGTAAAAGTTTTGGAACATAGTTACAAAAGTTGCTAAACAGATGGAATTATACGCTGTATAGAATTCTTGAAAATAAATTGGCATAAAACAGTAAACAAAGGGTGATATTCTAATACCTAAAACAAACATTCAATAAAATACATGGCCCAAACTTCTAATCCTGCAGGACTAATTTTTTTAAAAATATATTTTAACGTTAGAGATGTTCACAATGGTCAGTCATTGCTAATCAGTTATTGATAGCATGCACCACTATCTGTCCTTGTAACTAAATTCCTTAATTTCTGCACATATTTTTTACAGCTTTCACAATAAATATATCATTTGTTTCATTTCTCTATTACTCTTTATTTCTGTGATTTTTAATTTTGAAACTAGTCAGTCATTTGCTGGACGCCCTGTATCAACAAAGAGTTAGCAGGTAGATTAAATCTAATCAAAGAATGAAACTAATTTACAAATTCAGAAAAAAAAACAAAAAAGGTAAGTAACATTTAAAATAATAAATCAAAATAGAAAAGCGCTTAAAGCAGCTAAATCCAAATTTGTTTTTTTGTATTATCCAATTTATAAAGTCAGAAAAACAATTTGTGTTAGCAGGCAGTGTGTCCCCTGATGAAATGCTGTCCTGTTAACACACATATCTTAAAATTTTTATAATTTTTGTTTTCTGATAAAATTGTTTTTCTGACTTTATTAAAAAAAGTAGATAGAGTTACCTACATTTTACCCCTCCCAAATTGTACTGCCTCATATATTAAAAAACTTCTTTCATGAGATGACCCATGAAAAATAATTCAGTTGCAGTGGATATTTTATTTAAGTTTAAGTTCATTAGATCTAATATTCAGAACTGTAGCCTAAAAGATTGAAGGAAAAAGACAGTGCTGTAACAAACTAAACTAAAATAAAGAAAACAGTGCTTTCAAGCAAGATATTAAAGCAATGGCCTTTGAAATTTTCTATTTCATGTATCAACCAAGCAGTCTATGAAGTTTTAATTGTTTTTGTTTCTTCTCTCTCTAAAAATTATCATTAAGGGCTCTCATTATAGAACACCCTACATAAATAATTGGTTGTTTTATGAAATAAAACACTTTAAAGTAAAAAATTTGTTTTAAAGCAGTAGAGATACTTTTTAGTGTAGGTCAAACAAATTGGTCTTTTGAAGTAATGATAACAGAGTAGAATAAGTGACAGTTCTCTTTGTTTAAGTTTAACAAGACAATTTAAGTTTGTAATAAATTGCAAGTCAAAATTTTTGATGGTGAGTATGACAAGCCATAAAGAAAAGGCATATTATATGAAAGAAACAATTTAGAAAAGTGATCCAAGAAAACTGCAAAGTAATGCAAGACAATTGCAATATTTGGTTAGATTTATTTTCTTACGGTAAAGTAAAGATAACTTGATAACTTAAAATGAATTAAAAATTTAAGATATATTATAGTGAACGAATCATAACAATGTGTAAAATTCGAATAACCAAATAGCAAAATTGCTAAAATTATGAAAAAACGTTCAACAAGAAACATTTAAACAATAAAAAAATAAATACCTGTTGTTTGCTTCGACTCCATTTGAGTTCATCTGCCATTATTGAAATAATTGTTGGGAGAGCTTCTTTAGTTGCTTCAACATTTAGAAAAGACAAGCGTAGGCGTCTTGCAATGACATCAACTGCAGTTTGTGCATATTCTTGAACAGCATATCTTACCTTATATAAAAGAAAGCAACAAATTATAAACTATCTATATTACAACTCATTAAAAACTATGAATAGTATTATTGATGCACAATTTGCCTTACATTTGTGTCTAATAAAACTAGAATGAAAGAAAGTAATTATATTTCAATATAATTTTTTTCCAGTTTTCAAAATAGTCTAAAAAAATTTTTTTAAATTAAAAAAATAAAATAAAAAAACAAATCATTTATTAAACATTGAGAGAATTTATAATTTTTGTTTATATTTTGACCCTCTTACTGTTCAGCACGTAGAAAACCCTTCACATAGCAAATGAGTAGTTTAAACAGAAGCTATTCTCAGTAGTCCTAGTTACAAACAGGTAACTTTCAGGTAAAATTCATTTAAAAACAAGTTATAAGCAATACTCAGTATAAATCTAATTTGTTTAAGCCCTTTAAAATATTTCTAAGCAAAGTTTCAGACCACATTCAGTTCTTGCATTGAAACATTTAAATATTTATATTCATTAATAAAGTAGTGAAATTAATAATTAAACTGACTTAATTTAGAGAAAGTAAAACCATTTTTATATTATTTTAGTACAAAACTTATTTGACTAATTACATAATTAGGAAAGTGTGAAGAGATTGATATCATGACTGATGGATAAGGAGATTAAAGTGGTTAAGTCATAATGCTGAAGAGAGTTTGGAAAAATAATAATGAAGAATCTAAAGCTCAGAACAGGGATGAATTGAGGGCTATTTTGAGGTAAGCCCCAAAGAAAATTTATGCCAATGAGTAGTAATTAGATCAGTAGATATAATTAAAAAAACAGAATTCATAATTTTAGATTTAATTGATTGGCAATATAGAACACATAGGCATCGTCAGCTGTTTGACAAAATAAATATATATGTCAGAAATGTGTCATAAAATTTTGACTAAAAATAAAGGCAAGCACTTAAATCTAAATAAGTTTTTACATTGCATAACATTCTTTTTTTCTTTGAAAAACTTCTGCCATGTTAGTCATTCAGACTAACAAATTCATTATGATGTTAAACATATAAATTATCATGTGTTTATTAAATGTAATAAATATCCTACAGAATAATGAAATATGCATGATTAGGTGTATTTAAATAAAATAATTATTAAAGTAAAAATCAAGAAAAAAATAAGCACCTCAGCATCAATATATGGATACTCCTCATGAAGACGTTTTCCAATTATTGGCCATCTTTTTCCAGTCAAAGAAGCTAATTTAGCAACTGCAAAAGCTCTATCTCCATATGTATTAGTTAAGTGCTGAGCAACCTAAGTTAAAACATATGATGTTTAAAGAATGCAATTCAAGGTTCTTTTTAATTATTTACATGTTACATATAAAAAATGTTGAAAGTAAAAAATCTAGAATGAAAAAATGCAAAATTAAAGTCAGCATTAACCATTCTTATAAACATTTCCAGATAAACAGTGTTGTTTTATTGAAATTTAAGAAAAAAATAATAGAGAGTAAAATAAATTATGCTTTGTATTTAGCCACTTGAGTAGATAAGGGGTTGCAGCCAAATAAGGTTTCAAAATCAGCTCCTACCATTGATTGAAAAGTATTACAGGAGTCACAAAATGTCCCTTATTTAGAAATCACTATAAAAATACAAATTAAAATTTGAGATTTGACATCTAGAAGCATGGATACATACCCACAATACTGTCCTCTATTTATATGTCCAATTTAATTAACGTAAAAAATCACAATTTTCCCACAGACAAAATAATGGAGACACACACACCAAAATTCTTTAGTTTACTATATTTAGAGATTATAAATGTAGCATGCAACATGCAGAAACAAGTTATAATTGATAAATTTGTTTAAGGCCAGGTACATCATTTCACGTAAAGTTATATAAAATAACAAAAAAGAAAAAGTTAAAGAAATATTATAAATAATTTGAGAATTATTCTAGAAATTCTTGAGCTCCAAAAAAATTATATTCAAACCCTTCTTATATGGGTTGAAAACGCAATGTTTTTAAGTTATGATAACTACAAAAAATTCTGCTGGCATGGATAAATAGATCCTTAAGTTACTTTTCACCAAAAATATTTATAAATTTTGATGTTTAAAATCATTGGGTATATATTTTTCATTTGAATGCTTTTCAAAGATTAGAGAAGCAAAATAAATGAGCATCATTCTCGAATAGTACCAGCATTTTAACGATCTTAGTTATATCCGGTAGAAACACCATAGCCTGCCTCACAATTTCATTTTTCTGCACGCTTAGCACGAGAATTCCATTATCAATGCGAATACAATTAAAAATAAGTTTTTACAAAAATGCTCTAAAATAGCAGACCAATATCAATTTGATCAGAAAATGGTATATTTTTCACATTTTTAAATAATATTTTTTAATTAAAATATGGCAGAGTAAAACAAGTTTTTGATTGACGATGGACTGTACAAAAACAACAATGAATGAGCAAGAAAATTCAATTTACAACTTGAGAATAATTAAATGTTTGTGTTCTGGGGATACAGAAAAAAATGTGTTCTTGGTTAAAACAATTGCATTAATTAATTGCTGGTGATTTCCAACTTTTTGTGAAATTGTGTTAATTTCTTTATATTTATTTTCTAAATTTACTGAAGATTCTTTTAGAACATTAACTAATTGTATCTCAATTTTTTATAGTATAAGTTTGATTTTCTCCTACAACTATTAATTTTAAATTTTGCCTTACAGCTGCCTTATATTATTAGCTTATTTTTAAATTCTTTTACAAATAAGTTACATGCATACTATTCAGTTCACAGTAATAATTGTTTTGTCATTCCCTAAGCGAAGTGTTATTTTAAAAGATCAAATCAGCATTATATATGTGTGTATATGAAAAAAAGAAGATCGTGTCACTCAAATTATTTCAACTCCACACATGATTTTGGTAATTTGGGTAGCCACGCACAGAAGGCGCTTTACAAGATTCAACAGTTAAACAACAAAATTATTCAAGTTGACTTTTAGAGAAGTGCCAGGTCACATGAAAAAGCTACTGATATTTAATACCAGAGCATAACATGGTTTGTAATTTTGTAAATACAAGAAAGATAATTATTAAAATAAATTTAAAACTGAAAATGTAATAAAAATAAAATGTTAAATTAAAAGAAAAGGAGACTTCAAAAGGTTTATTACTTAAACACTAAATTATACCTCTATTTCCATTCCATAATCTTGCACAAGCCTAATATACAGATTTGGAGACCAGTTATCTGCTCCTTCTAATAAAAGCCCATCAGTTTGGCAATCAGTTTTGGGATTTAAATTGCAGTGTTTTACACCAGCATCAACTGCTTCTTTAGCCATTACTCTATATGTAGTCCATTTTCCCCCTAAAAGAGATTAAAAAATTTAAGTAAGTTTCAGGATATGATTGGTGGCAAACAAAAGGAAATATCTCATTTCAATTAGCTTAATAAAATGGAATAGAAATTTCTTTGCATTCAGAAACGGTTTTGCTTTTTCAAAAATTAAATGACTCTAAGAAAAAATTGTTTTATGTTTGACATATCTGATGCTAACGGTTAGTTTTCTATGAATCCATAAATTGATTATTTAATGTCAAAAGTGCTGTCTTTAGACATAGCCAAATCAAGGAATTACTAGAGGATCTTTGTTTCTGCAAATGGTGTCCTGAGGATGGAAAAAAAATTAAAAGAAATATGCTCTTCTATAATTTTTTCAGTGTGACTATTTTTTTAATAAAAATATTCTGATTTTATTTTTTAAATTAAAAGAAATCTATTTTTTAAATAAAATCATTTTGATGCAATATATAGTAATAATAGAATTTCCAAAAACCATTTACTACTTTAAAATTTGTTTACAAATAAATGATCGATTTTTTGAAGTGCAAAATGTAAAGATTTTTAATTTTGTCTTGGCTATATGGCAAAAAGCCAGTCCACAATGGTGTGACCCATGCAATTACGTTAAATCACAAGTAGGTGTTTGAGCGTTGAGATTTAAAACAAATTTCGTTTTAATATATTTTTTTTTAAAAAATTCAAGAAAAAGAAGTATAATTATAATCATAATTGTTCTGCTTTAACTTATTGAAAAAATATGCTTGATTTTTAAAAGATTAGGTACTCTACTGTTCCTTTCACACATGCATACTTTTCATGCATGATGATTGATATAACTTTGATGGATAAGTAAATTTAATTTACAGAGAGTTTTGAAGAGTAAGAAAAATATGCTTTTAGGGAAGAAACAAGATATGGTGAAATATGGACTTCACTTCTGCACAGGTGCACTTTACATGATAGTATTGAAAGATCTAGGTCATTTTGAACCAAGGGCAAGACTTACTCTTTGCACCCACTTTCTAAGTATATACACTACAATATAGCAAATGATGTAGTGAATGCATCATTTGTAATAAATGAAATAAAATGTCTAAAATCTATGTTTTTATAGTTGATAAAAAGAAAAGTTTTCTTTTTCATAGCAGGATGCATCACATTCAAAAGACAACTGTATAGTTTGGAAGATTTTTCAGAGTTGATAAAAGTGCATAAAGCGATAAATGTAAATTTTTTATTTAAGTTGAAAAAATTGATTTACTTTCTCCTTTTAATACTAATAGAAAAATACAGTTTTTCAAATTTTTGTTTTATTTTTTTCTTTTCAGTTATGGGTCTGTTAGTTTTTTTATGACTCCAAAAGCAGTTGGAATTTCCATTGACAGTACATAAATTCACAAAAGCAGGACATCATTTAATAGGTAATCTAACTCAACACTTAATGCAGTTTAGTTTCTCTGGTTTTGGTAGATGTTTTAAGCTTGACAATAAAAGGTCTTAAAGTTCATTTCAAAAGCCAAATTAAATAAAAAAGATGATTGAATAAGCAAAACTTTTTAGTACAACATGTATAATTGAAAACCATCGATATTCTATTTACTAAAAGTTTCTCTTTCATAAAGCACTTTAAAAATCCAAAAAGAAAAATTACAATTTATAAATCATAGGAATTTACCGGCCATAGTTATTAGATTTGAATCGCTGACATGCAATACATGATTTCGAGCAAGTGCTTCTGTCGAGCCTTTGTTAGGATTCAAAACTAATGGTCGAATTCCACTCCAGACAGACATAACATCACCACGGCGAACTAAAACAAAAAGAAAATATTACTTTCAAATCACTATGATACAATCTCTGTTATTGTATATATATCTCCAAAATTATAAAAAATCTCAAAAAATTATCTACTATTTTGAGGGAATATTTATGGGTTTATATCATAAACAGTTTAAATAAAACTTACCAATGAAGTTAAAGTTAACATTCTATAAAATCTCAATTACAAATGGGAATAATACTTATCACACTAATCTACACTGAAAATATTAGTTTTTCTAATTGAAAGTGCAAATGATATGTTTTATATATATATATATATATATATATATATTGGTTGTGTAATAATTAGCAGTGATATTTGCCATAAAGTGAATAAAAATTTAACATTAAACTCACAATAACGAGTTATTTTTTGAACAAGTTATATTCCCCACAGCTTTCTAAGAACTAACTGTTGTTTTTGAGTGCAGCCTAACGTTCCAAGCTCTCAAAACTTTCAGTTTAAAGAGTAGGAAAATTTCTGGCTCAGACACTACAGAAATTTAAGAATTTATAAGAAAATCTGCAAGAACTTTGACCCCTGTAATATTACTTTTCATAGCAAGAAATAGTCACATGACATACCTGCCAATTTTGGTTCTTTCTAAGAATTATTATCTTAAATGGTAGTGAAATGAGAATGGAAATATCTATAACAGGCAAAAAATTTTTAGATTTTAAAAGAGCTTACCGTATTTTTCGGCGAAAACAACAAAACTATATAAAATAAAGTTGTTCTTACCAGTTGGCACCGCGCCAAAAAACAGAAGAACAGCAAAAAATATTTATATGTTCAGTAGCTGAATTAAGGCTGAACTGATTACAGAAATCCGTAAAACAATGTAATAAGAAAAAATAAAATAAAAATTTATTAAAAGAAAGATTTTAAAATTTATTACCGTTAAGAATTTGAGGAAAAACTAATACATAATAACGAAACAGCTAATAATAACGAAATAACTAATAATAACAAGAATAAGAAATAACTAAGCAGGCCCCAAAAAAATTCTGAAGGAATGAGCGAAGGGGAAATAAGTTTCACTTTCACAATCTTTGAGGGTGGAATTTTAGTGGGTAGAATGCCCTCTCCTTCAATGGAAATAACCCAATGTGACTCAACTTAGAAAGAGAGAAGAAAATGTTTAAAAGAGGGGTGTACCCCACCTCCTCCACGTGTCATTTCTATTGGAGCTGTTTAGGAGGAATCAATCAGTTATATTTTAAAGGGGTTGGGGAAAAGAAAAGGGTATGGGACCCCTAATCCAGCATTCCAAAATTCGGCACTTAATCTGATCTAATCTTTTTTTTTTTTTTTTTTAGAAATTTATATTGATAAGACAAAAAAAATCAGCTATATTCTTTTTATTTGGAATTTTATTCTGTTGAAGTAACTTACTTTATTTTATCTTTTAAAAATAAAAAAGAAGCTTGAAAAAAAAAAATTAGTGTCAAAAGAAACATCTGTTTCTTAAGCAGTTTAAAATAAAGTGAGAAGTAAAAACACTTGCATTTCCAATGAACAAAATAAAGAAATGGAAGTTGGAAAAAAACTGATCAATCAATCTTGACAGCTGTGCTTTACCCCCAAATTTCCCTCTTCTGTTTGACCATAAATTGGCCACACCCAGTTGACATTGAAACTACCACGTGGACAACAAAATGAATTCTATCCCTTTTGCGGTTTTTTATTCGATTCATTAATTTTTTTTTATTTTGACGCTTTTTATTTTTTCTTGTTAATTGTTGCTCGCTTGTTTTTTTTTTATCGTTATTAGTTTTTAGCTTGTTTTTTGTTGATATTCATTGTTAGTTTCTTAGCATTAATTGTTAAAAAAAAAATTTTTTTTTGTAGTTCCCTGTTACCTTTTTTTTTTCTTCTTGCGAGGTAAGCGTCTTTCGTTAAAACAAAATGTTATCTAAAAGAAAAAACGAGAACTGTGATCTCGCTCTAAAGAAGAAACGATTATTTCTTCTTCATAGGATTCTGATTATTTCTTCTTGATTATATTATATAGATTATTATTTTGATTAGTAAAATTTCTCTTAAGATGGGCCAGTTTTAAATTCACCCCACTCCATCATAATCTACGATCGAAACTTGACTAAATTTATTGGTTTTTCTGAAATTAACAGTGGAATTGAATTATAGTAATATTTGGGGGCCATATTGGAATTTCCGAAAGAGATCCGAAGTTCGGCATTTCGTCAGTCCCGTGAGTGTCGGATTTAGGGTCCTATTCTTCCTTTTCTGTTCACTTAAATTACAATTGCTAAGGCGCTAAATAGATTTCTAGCTTGCGATTTTTCTTCAAGCTGGGGGTGGATACAAGATGCATACCTTTTAAATTTTCTCCTTATGCGATGTTTTTTTAAAATTATTATTTCGTTTATTTATTTTCTTACAGGCTGCTGCCGAAAGTTAGCTAAGAATTGGCGATGTTCTGCAGCAGATCGCGATACGGGCGAATATTTCGTCGACTTCGTTATTAATTTTTTTTAATAGTCAGAAAATTATTTCTTAAATAACTTTCCTTGACAAATTTTTTTGCTACAAAAAAATATTTCGTCGGAAGCGCCGCATGTAGGAAAAAAAAAACTTTTTTTTCGATAGCGCCGCGGCTCTTCCGCCGAAAAATACGGTAATATTGTACAATTATCATGCATTCATATTTATACATGTTTAATTTATTCCTATGAAGAAGGAGCTAAAATAATTCTAAATTAAATTTATAGCTCCAAGAATGAAATGAAAAAAGCATAAGTTTTGCTATCACATTAAATATAAAAATAAAATATTTCAGAAAATCAAAAAAAAATCAAAAATTAGCAGGTATGATGATGTATTGTTTTCTTAATCCAGATAAATAAATAGTAATACATACATAATCTTTATGATTATTTAGTAAATGCAATAGAAGATCTATAGGATGCAATTCTATAAACCGTAATTCTTCATAAACCATAATTCTCCATAAACCTAAATTCTCCATAAACTGCATTAGCTTTGAAGGTGTAAAAAATTAAAATTGCAGTTAAGAAATTTCTCTAACTAAGCAAGGATTATTAAGTTTTTATGTTATTTGCTTAATAGGTTACAATTTCAAAAGATGAACAAACTAAAATTGATAAATTTGTTTATTAGTTCTAACGAGATAGAGAATTTCATTATTTCTCCTGTAAATAATAAATGCTGAAGAAAATATAGTGTGTTTTTCAATACTTGCATCTAAAATTTTTTTAAAGCATTTCAAGATCAATTTGTTCCAGGCTAACATTGTCATGTTTAGAGGTTAGTTTAGAGATATTTGAAATCATCTATATAATGTAAAATTCTATTTAACACAAAGTCTGTCGTTTCAAGGTTTGCTTTGTAAAGATCAACTGTATATCAGAATAATATGGCATTACTTACCAGTAATTTCATCAGACAGGTAGTTTTTTACTTCATTGAGAATAAACTGAATTTCATCTTCAGACGGACTAGGGTGGTGAGTGATTTCACAAGGCCTGTCAGTTGTTCCTAAATTCAACATAATTTTTGAAGACTTTTTAAATGATTTTAAACTACGTAATGGGGCAAATTATCTTAAATTAATGCAAGCAGTTTCAAGAAATATAAAAACTTCAGTAAAGAAGAGATCAAAATCTTTAATTTAGATCAATTTAAATCTTTAATCAAGATCTTTAATTTTCTAGCAGACATAAGTAGATAAATATGAAGCAAAAATTGAAAAATTAAACAATTGGTTAAGATCAAGAAAAGTATTAACTATAAAAAATGGGATGAATGTATTACAAATCTGGTATGTTTCTTCATAAATGCCAGAGAGGTGCCAAGTCTGCATACAATTATTTAATCAGAATTAGAGTTTGTGTTCTTTTAAATTTTTGTGTACTAGTGGCTATTATTGTATATTAGTACATATTATATTAATAGCTGAAAAAATATAAATAATAAATGAACACTTATACAATAACATATGGTACAAATGATTTTCTAAAAAATTAATACACAACTAAATAGTTTTATATAGAAGTAATTTAGATGAATCCTTAATTCACCATTTAAAAATTCAATCATTAATTTAGTTCAAATCAAATGAATAAAAATGAGAATTTAATAACTTTGGAAAATTGCATTAATTTAAATAATTTTCCCTTTAAGAACTAAAAGAGAATCTCTATAATGCAAAATCATTGAATTTGCTAAAAATTTTGCCCACATTTTTAAAAAAGATAACTGTATGCACATAAAATCTCAAATTGTTAGTGCTTAAAAATGCAAATATGCTTAATTAAAAGAAATAATTAAACAATTTAAAAATATATTTCTATGTAATGTGAATCTTAAAATAAATTTGCACAATAGCTGAAATTTTTACTCTCTAAGCTTAGTTCCCAATAATAACATTTTTAAAATAAATATTTCCCAAATTTGTTGTAAAAAAACTGAACAATGATTTGTAAATGGATTAGAGGATTTTTATATGCAGTCAAAATTTCCAAGTCTAGAACATATTAAACAGTGTAGTACACTTTTAGTAAAATATACATACTGAAAATTCATATTTAAATACTATATAAAGGCAAACTCCATTATTATGACAGCATGAGCTCATTTACCTGCTATTGTCATTTTTTGCCAAGGCAAGAAAAATATGACTCTTCCATCACTAGTGGCAGGATCTAATAAGCCCATGTTCTCAGGACTAGAAAAAAGTTTTGTTGACAAAATTTTTAAAAAATATAGCATGTATCATTAATCACATTTAAGAGAGATGTTATTTATTCATTACAAATTAATTTAAAACTATAATGTCTAAAGTTGTTATATATCCAGGATATATATGTCTATCATGTTATAGATATGTATATCATGGATAGAAATGTATATCATGTTATAGAAATCTATCATACAAATTCCATTTTAATTTAAGTCTAGATAACCAATAATATAATTTCTCATTTTATACAATGTATAAATTAAGGTAAAGTGGCAGGCAATTACATACATCAGATACGAAAGACTAATGGGTCATATTCATATGCTAATTATCACTACAGCCAATGTTGTTATCAGTCAATGTCATCATCAGTGCAAAAAGTTTACTCATGAATGTTAAAAATAGCCTTAAGTGCAAAAAAAAAAAAAGGGTGGAATTTCTTCAGAGCAGAGAAAATACATGTTCCTTAGTTGCAGTTTTGGAAATGTCAAAAAAATTATACTAAATCAGTTGAATCTACAATCATATTAGGACAATTTTTATGATACTAATGCAAAAAAGGTGATCAAAATAAATTGCAAGACTTTATGATGAAATTGCAGGAAATCTAGCAAGTAAAAAAATTGTTTCGCAAGTCTGTGGTATTAAATTTGCATGTTGCAATATTATTATATTAAAAATATTTGGGTTTTAAAAACAATGAAAAACCACAGCAATTACTGATGATATAATGTTTGGGGATATCATAAGAATTCTCTTTGATTGAGCAAGTAAAAAAGTGAAAACTTAATAGGAATGTTTGAAATTTGTGTGTGGTAATAATATGACTTTTAAAAAAAATGGGATTTTTAAAACCATATACGTAACAATATCTGCCCAGAAACCTTTTGAAATGCCATGTGAATTTTTAATAAAATCAGCAAAAATTTAGTGCATTTTTATTATATGGTGCCCATAGCCGGTATCAAGAGGCATGATAATCAGAATGATTTTTCCAGACTCGCATGCCTTCTAAATTACTTTTAAAGCAAACCCTGATTTAGAAATTTCCAAAATCTTCTTTCCCTTGACACTTTTTTACCTACTGAAGAAGAAACGGTTTTCTCTCCCTCCTTTCTCTGTTGCCTTAGTAACGCACATCATAAGAGATTAAGAAACAAAGATTAAGGCAAAGCCTAGTAGTTAGACTTTTTTGTGGAACCGTAAAGTGGTGAATTCTTTAAAGCAAACCAGCTGATGAGTTACAGATGTCTAATTAAAAAATAGATGCATACAATTATAAAAATACATTTAAGCAAAGAGAATTCATAAAAAATAAATTTTGCTACTTTTTTTTTACTAACTTCATACTGTTTACTATTAAATGACAAAATTTTCACTGAGTTGGTTGAATAGATCTCAAGATATATAGATTTAAAAATACAACTTTCCAGGAAATCTTGCTGCTCATAAGCAATTTCAGTGATTTTCTAATTTCAAATTTTGTGGTTTAGCACAAAATTATTTTATTACAATAAAACTATTATAATTAATTCTTTTTTAGTCATTACCAAATTAAATAGTGTATAATATCTGAAACCTTCTTTTAAGTCAATTATCTATAGATAAGCGAGTTATATAATTTGTTTCCAAGAAAAATGGGCAATTAGGCAAAAAAGTTAAAATAACACATAAAGAGATCAAACTTTTGACTGACTGTTTTCTTGAATAAATTATTGGGACAACGTTTTGAAGTTTGTGACTAACCATCATATATTTAAGATTAAAAATTACAATCTGTCAACAAAAAAAAGGCATTTGTTTGTTTAGAGAGAATACATTTTGATTTTGTAACTTAAAGAACCATCAGAACTAAGTTAGTATGTATAAAGGAAATGTGTTCTTTGGATAATCAGTACTGCAGCTTAGTGAGTGAAAATCCAAGCATTAGGGTAAAACCTAAGATGTTGTTTTTTTTTTATATATCTAGTGAACTATACACTGACATAACACTTTTTTCCACTGGTTACCATAGGGAAGTTCTTTTTTAACTATTAACTCTATGATCTTGAATAATTTATCTGCATTGTGTCTGTTGTAGTACAATTTGTAAGACAGTTTTGTAACAAGCAGATTTGAATATGGCTTATGGTATTCATAACACCAAAATTAGTCAAATTTTTGAATAACACTATTTTGATTAACAGCTCAAGTTATTATCAAAAATTTTGTAAATGGATTCAATTCATAGGAAACAGTGTTATAAATATACTTTAAATTAAGTGCCTCATAAATACTTACTTGACACAATTTTTCTGAAAACTGTAGGCAAGAAATGTTTTAATATTTAAAATTTAAACTATTTAAAATAAACAGAATATAAAAAAATACAATTTTCGATTATGCAAAAATATAATTCAATTTTTTAAAAATATGTTTATCGGAAGTCATTCTTGTATATTATAATATAAGATAATAAAATTTTTTGAAAAAATAGACTGCAATTTTAATTTATTTTTAAAACTAATTTATAATATTTTGAGCGGCACTAAACTGTTTATATAATGGCATTTCTGTTAAACTATATATTTTTTTACTATCAGCAACATAAAAAAATACATCAAAGATTAAACATTTCCTCTAAGCCTAATTTTGAAGAAGATTTAATTAAAAAAAGAAGTTCTAGTATAGGGGTGCACAACCTGCGGCTCGCAGGTCATATGCGACCCGCTAACCCTTGATGTGCGGCCCGAGGCCGCAATCTGAACAAAATTTTTAAAAAATAAATTTTTTTTTTTTAAAGTAAAAAATAAATTTGAAATTTACGCATTTAAGTTTTTGACACAAACAATCTCAATCAATGTAGTTTTTCTATCACTTTTTTTTGGTAGTTAACACTATGAATTTACGCATAGTTTTGAAAATCCCAATATTTTTAATACGTCATTACTACGATCTACGAATTTTAGTTATGAATTTTGACGCTCTTTGTGTGCGTCGATTTCATTGTAAATATAATGACTTTGTGGTAGTTATTACTACCCATTTTCACATCGCGATTTTTGAAAGTTACAAGATGCTTTATCTGTGCAAACTTCATGGAAAATCTCATATTGACTTTGTACCTACTTTTGATCCTTTTTTCGGCAGTTATTGATAGGCATTTCTGCGTTGTTTTTAAAATTCCGATATTTTAGCATGTTACTATTATGAATAGCGAGTAAAGAATCGCTCATTTACATGCTCTATTTGCGTCGATTTTTACATAAATATAAGAGGTTTTTCAAACGTGTTTTTTCTTTCCCGTTATTGCCAAATTTTTACTTGTGATTTAGAATATCCTGATATTTTAACACAATATTACAACTCGTGAAATTCGATTCTGTTTTAAATTTTTTTTGTAACTCAAAAATTTATTACGCATCTTAGCAAAATCGACACCTTTCCGAAGAGAATAATAATAATAAAATAAAAAAACGAGATGTGTACATTAATATTAAATGCGGTCTCTTTTGCAAGAACAATAATTCAAAACACGTGCATATTTCTTTAGTCCCATGAACATGTGCAAGTTTAACACACACCATCTAGGAGAGACTCCAAAACTGATTAAGTTATTTGCCCTAAGTTTAATACTACTCACAGTTTCTGTCGAAAGACTGTTTTCCAGAATGAATTTAGCATGTTCACAATTACAGAGCAGTCTTTAAAAAAAAATCATTAAATTTTCATTTAATTTCTCGAAAAAGCTATCACATGACCACGTAGATAAAATTATCACAATATTTAAACATTTTGCAAATTACAGGATAATCATGAAGAAATTTTTTAAACCTTTTACTATCCACTCGGACCATTTTATATAATTTATGATCATATGCTGGGCAATTATTTATATATCATTGAATTTTAACTGTAAAAAAATGTAATCAAGATAAGTTTCGTAAAGTAATGTAAATTTTATTAATTGTTAATATATATATGTGTATTAATAGTAAAAATAGTAAGTGTCATATTAAAAAAATATTCGTCAAAAAAAGTTGTAAACAAGTATCTTAATAGTTTTTTATTATTAAGGAAAATAGTTCCTTCAAAATTAATGTTTTCTTTCTTTCTTTTTCTTCCCTCTCTCAGTCCCTGCCTGTTATAATTAATTTAAAATAAAAATGCTTTGAAGTATATGCCTTACTAAATGATAAATCTTATTTTCCGCTGAAGGGGTTTTCTTATGATTTTAATCCATTTTAACCCTATAAACTTTTTATAAATCAAAGTATTTAACTTGCATTTATTTTTAATTTAATTCTATGAACAAATTTTTTAATGTTAAAATTTATGCTTAAATAGACTTTTGTATTAAGTAATATGATAAAAAAAACATGAATTTTCCCATATTTTTTAATTATGTCAATTTATGTAAATTTTTTCCTGGTTAATTGATTCTGATTTCCTGATTCTGTTTTTTTTTTCTTAAGTAATCAGTTTCGCAGTTTCTAATTTTAAACATTTAAAAGTATTTAATTTTAAGGAAAGATATTACAAGGTTAACTGAAAAAAGAATTTAGTGCCTAAAACAATGATGTTTGTATAACAGTTACTACCTATAAATGCTGTCCATATATCTGTCTAAATACTTAAATATGGCCCTTCAATTTTTCAATCTCCTGTGCATGTGACCCTTCACTCAAAAAGGTTGTGCACCCCTATTCTAGTACATCCATTAACTGTTCATTTTTTGACAATAAGTTGTGAGAATCAAGAGACTATGGAAAACTAGAACTTCGATTATTCTAGAGGATGTGAGAAAGAGCTTTCCACATAATTCAATTCTTTAAAACAAATACCATTTCTTCAAAATAAATTTTAAGGATTTACAAGATTTTTTCGTACAAATTCATAAAAGAAAATCTTTACCTGTAGTAAGCTGGTAAGACTATGTGAACCCCAGCACTTGGCTGGCATATTTCAGAACAATCTTGGTCATCCATTTTTCTAATAGTATCAGTAAAGGGCCCAGTTGCATTGATTACACATTTTGCATGAATATTCCAGTCTTTCCCTAAATTACATGAAGTAAGAATCATGTTATAGTATAATATAGAAAAAACTGACATTAAAATGTGCAGTCAAATTAAAAAAGAAATTAAGATCCTCAACATCTAACCAGGTTCTTTTGCTGGGAGCTTATTTAAACTGGTAGTTAAAATGGTTTTGGCTGAATAACTCAATCTCTATTTAAGTATTATCTCACCCTTCATAAGCAAAACATTTTATATCATTTCTAGAAAAATTATATTGGTAGAACTTTATTATTGGTTTTAAAAGAATTTTGATATTACAGCATACAAGTAATTTAAAAGTAAAGGTATGACTCTTCAATGTTAGCAAATTTTTTTTAAAAATCTGGTTGTTTTCAAAAAATTTCTGATACCATGTAAAAGTTGAAGATAAGCATTACAGATTAGGCTACACCAGGACACAAAACTATTGCTTAAGAATGCAGAATTTTTTTTTATTAAAATGCCTTATAATGACATAAATGTTTACCGTATTGCTTAATATGTTTCGACAACCAGCCATTTTAAGTATTGTATTTGGACAGTTTGCTTAATGATTCATCTAACAGCTGTGCAACTGAAGTTTATCTTCTAGGTATAATAGCCGTATTCATTAATAGATCCAGAAAATTATTTAATTTCTTCTGTTTTCAATGGATTGAAAAAGTCCTAAACCAATAGATGATTTTCATTCTTTCAAAAATCTGTTCTATAATTCAGATTGTGCTTTTTCAAATCGTCAGTCTTTTTGGATGAATGCCTAAATATAATTTTTCATTCCTTTTGGAATCTTCACTTTGAAAATAATCTTGTACTTAAGGATTAGGATTATTTTGACTGAGAGCTATCTGCTAAATAGGTTAAGATCATAGTAAAGCATGCTTTTGTGCCCAGTTGTTTTAACAGAACAGTTTTGTCTTCCTTTTCCCAACATTTCCTTATCAGCCAATTCCAATTTTTATTTTGCAGAAGATTCACTACAAAATTGTAGAAGAAATAAATAAAATAAAGAAGATTTTATGCGGCTTAATTCTTATGCAAACTTATAGAAAATAAGAACTAAAATATTCAATCATGAAAGATTTATATTTTACCTTTCTATAATTTTATTTTAATAAAAAAAAATACTCTTAATTATTTCAAATGGAAATCTTGATGTACTATAAATAGTTTGCTCAAAAAATATTGTTCTTTTTTCATTTTCCCCCTTCATTAAAATATGATGAGATGAGGCTAATTTTTGATCAACAGAAGACACTATTACATTGTCTATGAGAGCTGTAATGAATCCCAATTTGTAACAAAAAAATAATTAACTCAGTCACCGTGATATATTTGTTTCTCTGGTCATTTTAAATTTGGTTGAAATATAATTGAATTGAATGTTATTTCAGAAACAGACACAAATTCAAAATGTTTTTAAAATCTCAATGTGGTTTTTAAAATTCTGATTTTTCAATACTATGACACTCGAAATTTGAATCACATGAAGCCTATCATAAATATGCAAATTTTTTCATTGTTTTTTCAGTATTGTTGCTACCAATTTCAACACTGTTTATTTGTTATTTAGTCTCATTATTTTTCACTACGATCTAATTATGACACATAAATTATGAATAGATTTCCATACAATTTATAAAATTGCTATGACATGCCTACTTGTGATAATTCTACCGCAAACCCGCGAATAATGCATAATTTTTTGGTGATGGTTATATTTCCATGGGAGTTAAAAAAAGAATGCACTACTTTTTTGTGTAATGAAATGCCAAATGAAAAAAATTTGAATACGACAATTAATATGAAATTGTTATACAATATGAGAATTAAATTTACAATAATTAAAATTACAATTTGTCATTGTCTGAACAAATAAAAATAAAATAAATTTAAACAGATAGCAATATTATCAAAAATAATCTTATTTTTCAAATTTTATTGTTATAATAATGTTCCTCAATAATACAAAGATGTTTATTATTCAAAGTAGATTTAGACCTAATTATTTAGAATAATTAAAGTTCTAACATATTTTTGAAATTAAGAATTCAGAAGCATTAACATTCAAAAGACTTAATTGAAAGCAAAACATAAAAATATAAACAATTTATATCATTTGAGAGAGATAGAGAGAATTGAGCCATATTATTACGCAAATTAAAATGTTTTAAATTTGATTACATGACACTATGGTTCGTTTTGAACAGAAACATGATCAAATTAACATCCTTCAATGGTTTCAGAAAATTTGCACAATAGTATGACTCCACATTGAGCTAATTTTTTTGAAAGTATACAACTGATTCACCAGTTATCATATCTTTGACTTTTGCTCCACAAACTTTTTGGCTATCATTCTTTAGAAGTTCGGTCACACCAACATGATTAGCAACATTAGCTCCTAGTCTTGCAGCTGTCATTATAATAGCTAAATTCATTCGAGCATCATTATGCTGACCTAAACATTAAAAGATATATAAAATTTTAAAAAACAATATTTTTTTAATATTCATAAGAATTACTTCATTGATTAAAAAATTAAACATAAAATAATTGTTCTCGTAAAAATATTCGGCTTTCTTAGCTTTTTCCAGTTCATGTTTTTTTTCTTCAAAAATTCCTCCGATTGCAGGCTACATTTAATCCAGTCAACTTCGACTTTGCACTTTGTAAAGAATTCAAATTCAGGTTACCTCTAAAGTTAGTTTTGTTTATAACCATACTAAATAGACATTCACAATAAGCATTGCTGTGATGTAGGAGTATTTTTATATATAACAAGCAAATCTGTTAAAATATTCTATTTTTTTGCTGTTTCCAGAGTAATTTCTTATTTAATCTACCCAGTTCCCTGCAAGATATATCACATTTCAAAATATCATCTCATAAATCATCAATTTGGCACAAAGGAAAATCACTCTCTACGAAATTACATTTATCAACATCATAGTCTGCAAAACAGGTAACTCCATATCAGTCTAAGCAGTAAGTTTGACTCTTTAGACTGACATTGGTAATCTCTGAATACAATAGCATCTCATAATCAAAAAAAAATTTTTTTAACAACATATTTGCATGATTCACTGTAAAAAGTATTAAAATTATCATAGAAAGAACTGATATCCATCTTAAGGTCTGGTTTCTTAGGACAAGCGCCTTATCTGGGTGTCAGCGGGATGTCAACGCCCCGTTGACGCCAACAAAATACTGGTTTGTTAGCTCAAGGCCTGGTTTCTTAGAACTAGCACCTTATTTTGGCGTCAGCGGAAAGTTGACGTAGAGCTGACGCCATAAAAATACTTTTTTGTTAGCTCAGCGTGAGCAGTCGGCCCAACGCAGACATTATCTCTCATTGTGCATGCGTTAATAACATAAACAAATATTTATTTTGAATTTGTATTGATTTTGTTATTGTCGACCAGTGTTTTAGAGAACAGATAATGACTTTGTCCAAGAAAAAACACATTACAGCTGAGCTAAATGAAGAGTGCTATGTTTAATGAAGAAGCTATGTTTAATGTCAAAATCAAAATCTTGGCTGATTTCAATGCGCTGTTGGATGTTGTCCGCCATTGCTTCTGTGGTTAACGTCACGTTGTAATCCAACTGCAGTTGAGTTGGACGGCAATTGTAGTTCAAGATGAGCGTTCGATGACGTATACTATCAAACTCACAAATGGACCAATCAGAGGTTAGCGCTGATTTCCAGCTGACGGCGTCCTGTCCTAAGAAACTAAGCCTTTAGACAGAGAAACTTCTTTAAAACATAGCCTTGCCTGACTATCAATAACTAAATCGTCGCTGGATTTATTTCTCTTTATTAGCAAATTCAACAGTGACAACGTTTTCAGCATTCTCTACTGCCAGAACTGGCAAAATTAAAAGATCCGATTTTTTTTTGGTTTGAACCCGTTTTTTTTAAATTTTTTTAAAAATAAAATGTCAAATAATATTTTAACCCTCCTGCTGACGAAATAACTCTGGCATGATTTCTACACTGAAAGTGACAAGCCCGAAATAATTCGAGTCGCCTGTCTGCCTCTGTAGCGGTGAACCAGAGTTTTTGGCTGGAATTTTTTTCCCTTTCCCTATGACCCCAGACTGGGTACTAATTGGGAGGTGGGGATGGCTGTCATCATAAATCACTATAACAGAGGTCTTGTGAATTTATTTAAGAGTTCATGGGCACTAACTTGTTTGGGAATGTTGATTATTGCCTCAATCTTACCAGTCATGAAATTATGGAGTCTTAACCTCCATGACTCCCCTGGTCTACAACGGGCTGTAGCGGAAAATATTTTAAAGAAAACACTTAAAATACTTTGAAAACTCCTTAATTGTTATATAACTGAGAAGAGCTTTGAAGTTTATATTTTATTCTCCTTTGGCAATTTTTGAAAAGTATGTTAATGAGATAGGGGAACGTTGATAAAATTATCTAACTTAAGGAATTCTCAATTTATGAATGATCATTTTAATTTTATATATAAAAGTTTTTGGTAACTGAATATTCAATTCAGTTATTTTTAAACAAAATGGTATTGACAAATCAAAATATTTGAAGCTGCAAAAATACTTTGCAGTTAACAGTATTAGACCATTCCTCACACCAAGATATGTTTTGTTAATTTAATTGTACCTTTTCATGTATGCTAATTAAAGCAGTATGTATGTTCTGTTACCCTAAATGGCAAGAAGAGATCAAATAATATTTTTAACAGATCAAAATAAATAAAAAAAAAGAAATTTACTATTTTGATTATTAAAAAGTATCTACCAAATAGAAACTTTCAAAAATCAACACATTGATATGGGATATTATACCTATAAAAATTATGTCCGAAAGAGCTAACATATCTTTAAGTTGGCATATAAAATGCTTACCATCATAGTACACTAAGGCTCCACAGAGTTGTTCTTTTTTTAACATTGGAAATAGCTCCAATGCTTTACTTCGAGACAGAAAATAGCTTGACTTTACTTGTTGCCTACCAGCAACTAAATCATATGCTTTGATACCAGCCCAATAATATGGAACTTGCCACCAACTGAAAAAAGAACAATACTAACAATTATTTTTGCTTTTAGATAAATGCTATCATGATAAACTTTTACATACTGCATCACAATGAAAAAATTTTTTAAACATAATGTTAGATATTAAGAATCATATCAAGGCATGCGTAAGTGCAACCAGTTCTTTTTGCTTAATTGCTTGCTTTGAGATTTAATTGCACAATCATAATGATCCTTCCAGCCTTCCCCCTACGAATTATAAATACACTTAGTATTACACTAATTTTGTGGAAATATGCCACGGTGTTATTGATTTAAAATATGAAAATTTGGTAGGAAGGCTGATCTAATGGGTAGGCATATATGGTAATACTTTTTTTCTCTCCTTCTTTTGAAAATTTTGCTTTCTGATTCATTATCATTCTTTCCTTTCCATTTGCTACTAGTACTTTTTATTTTTCATGCTGAATGTTACTCAAAAGAATGGTCAATGCACATGGAATTATACCCCACAGCATCCTTTGTTGGAACCACTTTCTCTAGGCTGCTATCAGTAAGAGAACAATATCTCTTTCCCTTCTGTCAGCCAGATGCAAACAGCCTTTGAGTAAAGGGAATCAGCATGGAGTGAAGAATCATAAATCAGAAAGGAATGAATGAAGAAAATCAGAGTGGTGCCAGTGATAATCTCTGCTGTAAAACAAAAACTAGCTTTCCCCATTTTTTCCAGGAAATCTGTCTCTTCCACTTGTACAGTAATTTCCGGTAAATAGGCCGCGGCCTATACGTGTTTAAAAGTTGGGTGTCACGATGCGCGGCCTGTACGCCGATGCGGCCTATATGTAGAATTTTTTTATCCTGGTGGATTTATTCAAAATCAGATGTTTAGCGAAAATTTTCCAAAATAACGAACCTAATTTGTAGTGTTTACTCTGGTAACGTTTTTCTTTCTTATTTTTTTAAAATTAATTTGCCGAATTTCGGATCGCTTTCGAAAATTCCAATATGGCGCCCATATATTACGATAATTAAATTATACTGTTAATTTCCGAAAATTAATTAATTACAATAAATTTAGTTCAGTTTTGATCGTAGATTATGATGGGGTGAATTTAAAAATGTCCCATCTTAAGAAATTTCATTAATTAAAATAATTATCTATATTATAGAAATAACAATATATATTTTTAATAAGCTAACAACTAATGATTAAAAAACAAGCTAACAACTAAATACAATTTAAAAATAAAAACTAGCTTTCAAATAATAAAAAAAAATAGCAATTAATATCTAATAAAAAACAAAAGAGATTGATTTACATCGAATAAAAAGAAGCCTCAAAAGGGATAGAATTCATTTTGTATCCCACTTGGTAGTTTCAATTTCAAAAGGGTGTGGCTAATTTATGGTCAAACTGGAGGGGGAAAAAATGGGGACAAATGAGTAGAGCATTTCCACAGCTGTCAAGATTGATTTATCAGTTTCTTCCAACTTGCATTTCTTTATTTTGTTCATTGGAAATGCAGATGTTTTTACTTTTCCCTTTATTTTAAACTGCTTTTAGAAACAGATGTTTCCTTTGACTCAGATTTGTTTTCATGTTTTTTTTTTAAGATAAAATAAAGTTACTTCATCAGAATAAAATTCAAATAAAAAGAGAATTATACTGATTTTTTTTTCTCTTGTTAATAAAAATTTCTTCTAAGAAAAAAAAAAGAAAAAGGGATCAGATTAAGTGCTGAATATCCGGCAGTGAAGAATCAGATTTCGATGGTTTTGAATAGATATATGCTCAAAAATATTTGAAAAGTATAAATAAATAAATGCTGATTTATTTTGTGATTAGTTTATTTTTTATCGCATACACATCCTTAACTTAGGATCATTCTCAATTCTTTCTTTTTATGATAAGTATACATAAAAATGAGGATGATAATGTAATGAGTATACATAAAAAAATATTTATCAGTAACTTTTTTCTAAGTATAGAGTTTATGTTTTAAAGATTATTATTTTTTATGTGTATTTTCACACACGTGATATTTGATAAAAATCGATGATCGATCGAAAAAACGAAAGTGCGGCCTTTACGACGGTGCGGCCTATAAGATGAAAATTGAAATTTTTAACGATGTTTTTTGCGAGTGCGGCCAGTACGGCGGTGCGGCCTATTTACCGGAAATTACAATGGTTTTTGTCTGTAAGTGTGGGGTGCTCTTTTTACTCCACCTTTTTCTTTAGCTGGTTGTTAAAAACATGTGAATGTTTGACGAATAAAAAGTGCTGATGAGACTGGGATGAACTTGAATATTCTTAAAATTAAAATGTTCAAGAAGAATTTCAATCTTTAAACTGAAGGTCAAAGAACAGGGGAGAATAGAATGTGTGAGAAATTCACACACAGATAAAACATACACTGTCCTGGGCGAAGTTTTTTAAAAAAGAGTTGTTTTCTGAAACCTGATTTGAGAAGTGAAAGTAGGGAGAGGAAAAGAGGAAATAAAAACTTGCTTCATATGCTCAAGAGAATGCTTTTTGTTAGTTTTTTTTTCTCATTGCTCGTTTTTTTGTCTTAAGAGTTTATTCCTCTTCTTCTTCGGCTTATTTTTTAATTATTGTATTTTCAATTCTGTTATTGCCTGTTGTGTTTTTGTTAATATTTTTTATTTTAGTATTTTTCTTTCATTTATACTTTTCTGATAATTTTTTTGTATTGTTTTAATTTTTGTTTTATTTAAATTTTAATATAATTTGTTTTTAAGTTATACATTTTAAATGTCTCCCATTAAGAGGAAAAGTAATATGGCTGCATTTAAGCTGTTAGCAATTAAAAGAGCAGAAAAAATAGGAAATCGGAGAGCTGCATGAGAATATATTGTTGAAAGATGCATCCGGAGGTGGCAGTTGGAAAAGGATATCTTATCCCAACTACTCAAGATTAAGCAAGCTCGGTGCAACGGCAGGGTTTCCACAGAAAAAAAATTAACAAAATAGTTGCTTGTAGTAGCCTAAAGCAGGAGAATAGTCGCCTAAAATTATGAAAATAGTTGCCTAAATAGGAATAAAAAATTTTCAATAATATGACTAAAATTTTATTAAATGACTTCATTGTAATATACCATGATCTATTTAGTCAAGTTGATAGCCAATATGATAAGTTTTAAATAAACGTTAGTGTTCCAGCACTAAATTTTTTTATAAAAAAATTTTTATATTTGCAGAGCATTAAACACTTTTAAAAACTAGAGTTAATGCAGAAAAAAAAAATTTTTGTTAAAAAAAACAAACTTTCTATTAATTTTCCCGTTCACATAATTTTTCCTTTTATCAATTGATTTAGCAAATATATATCAGCCAGATGCAAACAGNAAAAGTGATTACTAAAATTCGAAATTCACGCATCATAGTATCGTATTAAAAATTGGGTTCTTCAAAATCGTGCAGAGCTTTGTAGCAATAACTGTTAAAAAGGCAAATGAGAAGCGAAATAGATTCACAATGGAATCTGTGCCAATTGAGCGCATTAAAAAGTGATGACTCAAATTTGCAATTCAACATTTCTTTTTTTTTTAGAAAAAAAAAAAATTCATTATGTTCATAAGCTATCGCAGGCCGCAGGTTGTCAACCCAATTTATGCTTAAAAAAAATATTGCTAGGAGCATAGAAAAGTTTCCAAATAGTCTCCTTTTCCTGAAAATAGCTGCTTTTATAGCCTTTTCAGGCAAAAAAGTAGCCATAGTTACCTCAGGCTAAAAATAATTGCAAATAGTAGCATTTTAGTCACCTGTGGCAACCCTGAATGGCACTGTAGGATGGCTATTGCTGGAGGACAACCTGAAAGCATGGATTAAGGAGCAGAGAGTCAAAGGGTTGTCTCTCTCTGTACTCTGTAGAGCGGATTCACATACAAAAATTAGAGGTGAACCAAATTGGTGTTTCCGATTTATGAAACAAAAGAACTTGTCTGGGCGACAAAAAACTATATTCGGCCAAAGATTGCTTGATGATTAGAGGGAAAAAGACTTTTTTCCCATTGCTCTACTGAGTAAAAAAAAATAGAAGAGCATAGACTGAGTCACGGCCAGTTAATAAACATGGACGAGGTTTCTCTTTCTTTTGACTGCCAGCTGAACAGAATTATGGAAGAAACAGGAGCAAAATCAGTGGCCATAGTAACCAAGGGTTATGAAAAAATGTCATTCACCTGGGTATTAGGAAGTTCAGAAATGGGGAGAAGCTTACGCCGTTGCTAATCTTCAAAAGAAAAACTCTACCAAAAGGTGATTTCCCGAAAGACGTTATAATAAGAGCAAATGAAAAGGGGTGTATATGAGACGATATAATACTGCAGTGTCCGGACTTGTTGTATTAGAATCGTAAAGGTGCTTCTTTCCTACTACACAGATTATTGATACTTAACGCGCTGTGCTTTCATAGACTAGACTCTATTAAAGACTTGTGCAGGAAAAAAATTGTCTACTGAGCTTGCTGTTATCATCGGTGGCCTAACAAAACAACTTCAACACCATGACCTGACTGTCAATGGGTTTTCAAGCAAGAAGTGAGGTGGCTGTGGGAGAACTGGATGGAGCATGGCATTCACTCCTACACTAAATCTGGACACGTGTAGTGGAAAAATTATGAGGTCGCTGCATAGGTGTCCCAAGCTTGAAAAACTGTAAAAAAAACGCTGCATAGGTGTCCCAAGCTTGAAAAACTGTAAAAAAAAAAAAAAAGAGACTGTCATAAATGGCTTCAGATGAGCGGAAATTAATCCTGGACAGAACAAAACCAAAAGTTACGTGAAAAGTGCAAGTGACGGAGATGAACCCAAAACAAACAATGAATGGATTTTGCTCCAACAAAGAAAGTTGTGACTTTGAAGGATTTTAAATACAGTGATATACATATATATATATATTGTGATATCTAAATGAATTCTTCTTTTTTTTTTAACATAATTCGTTTCGATTCATTGTTGATTTTTAAAACAAGATTTTGGAGAGAGCTGATTTAAGACTAAGAATGTTTCATTTTTATTTTTAACAATTTTAAAACTTATTTTAATGGCCTTTAATTGATTAATTATTAGATTCATATTTTAATGGTTACTTCAAATTAAAATTAAAAAAATGCGTAATTTTTCTTAGAAAATAATTGGAATCCATTTTATATACTAGGATTGTTTGTATTTTGTATATTTAATACCTTTTTAATGGTTTTTATTTAACTATTTAAATTATATGTATATGCGTTTTTTGAACACAATTTGATGTGGCGTATCAGAAGAAAAGCTATTTTTATTTTAGTTAATTTTTACGAGTGCAGCGTATATACCAGGACGGCATATTTCCATGAAATTATGGTAATTATTATTTTGCTTAATGAATGTTAAATTTTGATAATCAAAAGTTTTAATATTTTGAAAACTGTTTTCATTTTTGATACAAACGCAAAATCAAATGAATAGTTTATATAATCATACGGTGGTTATATTACTATTATGCCATGTATCCATGATTTTTAATTTCATGAATCAATGTTATAAGATTAGGTTATAATTATAGCTTTGAAAACCTAGAGCTAAATAACTTTATAGTTAACTCTGTATGGAACCAGAAAGTAAGAGTCAGAATTGGACAACAGTTAAAATAGGATAAAACATTAATATAACCCATCAAATGTAAGCAAAGCAACTGCATTCTTGTTTTTAAAAGTGGATGTATGATCCATAATTTTACTTTAAAAGTGTACAACTCACTTCACAACATGTTTTTTCCCACCATTAAAAATTTTTTCTAAGAAAGAGTGACATAAAATCACCTCCCATTTTTGACTGAGATCAGGAAAACCCACAGGTGATAATAGTAGGAGGGCAATGCGTGAAAAATTTGAAGACATTCTTGGACCACTATTCTCAGATTAGATAGATTTTCAAATTATTTCCTTCACCAGCAGATTTATTTTTTAGTAATATAAGATTGGTGAAAAAGTTTCTTCCAGATTGAAAATAAATTAAGAAGAAAGCACTTAGAACATATAACTTACATTGAATTTAAAATTGAGTTTCTACCTAAAAAGGTTGAAGCGATGCTTTACAATTAAAAAAAAACATATCTGATTTAAATTAGAAGGTCAGATTCAAATTTTTTTAGCAAGGAGCCAAAACACAACATTTACTTGAAACAAATGAAAAAAAAATACTATTAACTCATATTTCAAACAAACAAGATTTCAAAATATATTTTAGAAAATTTTTTCTGCTGATTTTTTTAAAAACTAAAATATGCCATAAGTTGATTTAGAAAGTAGACTACTGCCAGTAAGATTTAGATGTTTTACAATTAAAAAAACATTATTGATTTAAATTAGACAGTCAGATGCTAATTTTTTTAGCAAGGAGCCAAAACACAACATTTACTTGAAACAAATGAAAAAATGTATATTATTAACTCATATTTCATATTTCAAACAAACAAGATTTCAAAATATATTTCGAAAATTTTTATTGCTACTTTTTTTAAAAACTGAAATATGCCATAAGTTGATTTAGAAAGTAGAACACTGCCCATAAGATTTAGAATTTTAATCTGTATTACAACAGATGTCAGAAGAAAAAAATGTTTTTTATGTCAAGTTGAAACAGAATAAAACAGTTCTTTAAGATTTCTTGTTTTTAAGTATAAAATTTTGTCATTTTTATGTTCGCCTTATTATTAGTTATAATTCTTAACAGCTTTACTATTTTCTGTTCTAGTGCAAAATTTAATGGTATAAGTTAAAAAGTAGAACCTAATTTTACTGATCATACTCGGCAGACTGTACAAAAAAAAATTAGGTTAATTTTTTTCATTCATTTTTAAAAATAATATTACAACAGTGTAAAAGTCCTATATCTGGACGATCATTTTTAGAAAGGATCCATTTTCCAAACATTTTTAGAAATAAAAAAAACAAGCTTCTTTTACGATTCAATTTTTTTTTTTTTTTTTTTTGCGATTAGTTCTAAAATCTTTATTTTTTTTAAATTTTCATTTATATTAAAAATTATATTATTATTATTATAATTAATTATTATTGCAACTAACAACATAACGTCTAGTATAAAAATAATTGCTAATAATCGCTTATTTATTAATTTTCTAATAGCTTATATTTTGATCCTTGTTCACCTAAAAGATCAATTATCCAGAAAATCTAATTTTTTGGACTTCCCAAAGTCCCATCGATTTTGGACACAAGACTTTCCACTGTATTTTTCTACCAAAACAATATTCTCAAGTTACAATTTTAATGGATAAATATTTATTTGCATTGCTTAATTTAATATGATTTTTGTTCCAGCTTCATAAATACTATTGTTTTAAAGTTATTCATTACCACTAATGAATGTTAGAACTTACTGATATACTGGCAACATAATAGGAAGTGGATAGGAGAGATGAGGTGCAATAGCTAAGAGATTAGCCCTCTCATGAAGCGCTTCTTTAACCATTCGATACTATTAAAATAGAATCCAATATTAAATAAAGTGAAGCATTTTGCTAATGTGTAAGTAAAATAAATAACTAAAAAATTACACTTCATAAGCTCAATTATAGTAAAACTGAAAAAAATTTATTCTTTTAAAATCCTTGAAAATCAAGCAATTGAATACAAAACATATATTAAAAATATATATTTTTTTAAATGTATCTTGATAAGTTATAATATATTGAAATTATAACAAAGAAGTTTTGAAAATGTATAGTTAAGCAATTAAATTTCTTGGTTTTAAGTAAGATACAAAACAGTAAAGTATTAAAAAACTTAAAAAAGAAATAATAAGAATAGCCTAGAAATTGTGTATAAAAAGTAAAATTAAAATAAACATGATGCTTAAACAATTAATTCTAAATTCTGAAGACCCTGACCCTATTGAAATGATGGAAGCTTTAGATAATTATTAATGATCAAATAGATTTATCAAATAATTTATTAATGGAATTCCTCAATAGAACAGTCAAGAGCAGATAAAAAAAAAGGCTATGATCTTCTGCTTGCAACTGTTATAATTTATTTTACTTTATATATCTTATAACCTACCATTATCTTGCAACTTATCCTTATAACTTAAACATAGTAATTTCTATATTTTTTGAACAATAATTCTTTGATATTTTAACAAATATGCAAATTGTTCATTAAATGACCAAATTTTTTAACTTTTATAACAAAATATTTTCAAAATTAAACATAATGAAAAAAAACAAAAACAGAAATCAAGTAAGGGATTGGATGCTTCTACATTTTGTTATTATTAAACATGGATTACAATATATTCATCTTAGTTAATTTGTGACTTAAACTGCTAACTGATAACAGATAAAACAGGAGCTAGTAAACACTAAAATGAGTGAAATTCAAAGTAAATTATTGAAGATCATGAAAATATTAACCATTATAACATTTAATTGACATTAAATATATAACTGATAGGATAAGAACTAAAATAACATACTTGTTCAAGGTCTAATTGCATAATTGCCTTTTGTAAGTATCGCACACCTCCATGAATTAACTTTGTGCTGCGACTACTGGTACCAGATGAAAAATCATCTAATTCAACTAATGCAGTTTTAAGGCCTAAGAGAAGCACAATTTTTTTTAGAATCAATTTTAGTCTTAATCAATTATAATTAAAAAAAAAAACAAGTGGTTGAAAAAAAAAACAAGAGTTAATAGAAAAAATATACATTTAGTAATTATGATGCATTTATCAGGATTCAGTAATTCAAAAGAAAAACAATAACTGAGGAGTTGTAAGATAGATAGAATATTCATCTTAGGACACTCAAAGATAACATAATTACAGTGTCAAGCCAGATTTTTCAGCAGAAAAATAGCACTCAAGAAATATTTTTAAGCAATTTTTCTACAAAAAAAGATCAAAATTAGGTTATGGGCACCAAGAAAAAATTTTCTTCTTATTGTTAAAAGTTCATCACACTTATAAATAAAATTAAAAGATTACAAAAAGATTTTCAAGGATTTTACATAATCAAGAAAAAAGTCATTTTTGATAAAGAACTTTAACTATATTCAATATTGAGTTGCTCATTCAGTTTTTTAAATTAATTATGTAAAAATATTAGTTTTAATTTAAAATTACAATTAGTTACACTTAAATTTTAAAAGGCATCAGATGTATTTTTTTAAGATTGAAATAGAAATTATTTATAAATGCACATTCAACAAAACACTTATGAGATTAATATTATTGACTGACTTGAAGTTGATATGGATGTGTGGCGAATAAGCAAAATAAAAATAAAAATCCTGAAAAAATTTATATTACAAAGGAAATAAGTGAATGGCCCTTATTAAATTTTTAATAAAAAATTGTAATTTGGTCAATATTTAATCAAACAATTAAAAATAGTTTCAATGATGTTAAAATAAAAATACAATGAGTATATATTTTTAAAAGTAAATTATTATAAAAAGGTCCCTATATTCATTATATTTAACAAATTTAAGATTATTAAATTGCTTTTAATCAAATGATAAAGAGAAGAGTCAATTTGTTTTTAAATGATGCATCTTTACCACGTAAGATTTCTTACTAAATTTGCTAAATATAAAAATTTAAAAAAAAACTAAATAGCCCCTCAATTGGTACTTTTTATATACTTGCCTCCAAAAATTATTGAGTTTAAAATAACTCAAGAGTACTAAAAAATTTAATATTAAATCTAGCAAAATATGACAATAAAAAGCCCTAAATACTTTAGACAATTATTGGAAAGTCCCTCAGACATAATCTGTTATGAAAAATTGTCAACATTCTATATCAATATTAAATCTGATGAATTATAAGGAGGTAAAAATTTTGAAGAAATGAAGCTCCCTGATTGTTGACTGCTCTGGACCCACCTGAAAATATTTAACTAGTGAATGACCCCCAGGTCAAGTTCAAAGATTGTGGTGCAGGTGTAGAGCATAATCGACTTTCTCATGATGTAATTGACGGCACTTCACCAGCAAAGATATTGTCAGGAAAAGGAACAAAATTTTCTTTTGCCAAAGCAAATGATTTACAGAAATATTTAAAGAAATATACCTCTGGAAATGGAATCTAAAGCAATGCCAGCACCTGTAGCTCCACCCCCAATAACTAAAACATCATACTCCACAGCAGTTTTTAAAGCATTAATTTGTTCCTCTCTGGTAGGTAAGCGGGGCTTACGTTTAGCAGGAGTGCTGGCAACAACTACATTCTAAAAAAAAATTTACAAATATCAAAATAAAGAATTTATATTTAGCTAATAATGGCAATGAAAATCCAGTGTTAAAAATGTAAATAAACATTTTTGAATATGTCATCTTTGAAGGGCAACTTTTAACTTTCTGTTTGGACTAACCTATCATCTTAGTATATTTGTTTACTTTCTTTTTTCTTTTTTTTTTTTCAGAAACAAAAACCTATTGAAAGTCGAACAGATTCTTTTCTTCTACTTTCATCGCAAGCCTTTCAACTTACTAGATGGGATTGAAGTCATCAGCAGTTCAATTTGGCAAAAAGCCAAAGTAAATCAGACGCTAACTGGGAAAACTATATCAATTCTGAAGTTAGCACATTTAACTTTGAATGTTTCATTTAGTATGTTTAAATAAATTTTGCTAAATTTCTATATATGTTCTGAGGAATTCATCTAACACAAGCCAAAGCTATGACAGGTTTGGAAACTGCTCATAGATTTAGAGGTTTTTTTTCTACAATGTAACCATCATTACCTAAAATACATGAGGATTCCCTTAGAAAACTAAAAAATACATGAACAGTTACAGAACTTATAGGATTCAAGCAAATAACTTTCATTGTTGAACAGCAACTTTTGATTATTTCTGCTTGGAAAAAAAACACAAAAATTAAAACTATTTAGTTAAATTTAAAACGAAGAAAAATTCAAAGTATTAAAAACTGAACATAATCTACACAAGTTTCATTTTAATTGTTCTCCCATCATGAATATAATAAATGATTTAATAGCATAATAAAAAAAAAAGGTTTTGTTATCATAAATAGATGAGGAATGCTACATATAAAATTTTTATTGACTAGATCTACTTGAGTAATTAAAAGCACGTAAAAAAACAGATATGAATGTCTAAATATTTCTTTATTAGAATTTTTGCAGATTCATAAATCTGATTTTATATAATCAAGATTGATGAGAAAATATGGCTTTTAATCAGAAATTAATAATATAAATTTCTTTTTTTTCCATATCAGTATTTCGTGCATAGACAATAACTTTCGAAAGATTTTTTGTGTAAAAGTAAGGATGAAACAATACATTTCTATTAAACCTGTAAACAGGAATTGTAACTAATGTTTGCGATTAATTCCTTCAACTCCTTGGAATCTCAATTTTTCAATATAAATATTTTGTTTCGTTAGGAATTCTGAAAGTACATTTTCACAATTAAAAAAATCATCTTGAGTATTTCAGTCACAAATTCCAATTTGGCCTTCATTGGTCTAAAAAAATAATCCTTATTGGTCAAAATTTTTTGCAACTTTTAGCTTTATCACAAACAAGATAAAATTAATAATAATAATAATAACAAAAAACTTACCGCTTTATTCGAAATCAGACCAAATTTATATAAACCGTAAACTGTAATTGCACCACCACAACCTCCAAACAAAACTCTATAAAACTTTCTAGACATTTTCTAAAGAAAAAAAAAAGAATAATAATTTTTTTTTAAAAATCACATTGAAATCAGTACACCAATCATAATAAACAATAATAACCATATTAGACTTCTAATCTGAATTTCTAATCATGGTTTTAATTGATAACAATTTTTGTCTACATTTATTTCTTTATCTTGATAGATTATCTACATTTATTTATTAAATGTTATAATATTAACAAATTAACTAAGAAATAGAATAATCACTGGCATAAATATTATTTAATAAATATTACTTAAAATCAGAGAAGACATTTCATTTGGAAGAAAATTATTTCCTCCAGGAGACTGGAAGAAACTAAAAATGACCATCAGAATTGGTAAGCAATTAGTATAGTAAGAAAAACTTAAACAAATTAAATTTAATATAGGACCAGAAGTGTAAATTTTTTCACACCTTTTTTTTCTTTAAAGAAAATAACTATTTTCATATTATTTATTTTAATTTCAAAGACAATTTTAAAATTTATATATCATATTTACAAGAAGGTTTCAGTATTTGTAACCAACAGTATTTGGTTAAAGACGAATTAATGAGGAATTTTTCATTGTGAATGCAATATGTGATTTTAATTAGCATGCATTTTGTTATTTTAGCAGCATTAATAAAATTTTATTATATTATTTTAACATTTCTTTATAAAATAAGGTTATACTATACTCAATTAAATAATTAAAATATTAAAATTTCTTTACTTTACTTTCTAAAACTTATTTTAATTTCTAAAGAAATTGGTTAAATTTTTCTTCCCAATTCTTGCCTTTCAGTTTTCATTTATTTAGAAATTATTTATTAAATAACTTTGAAATTAATACTATTATTCAAATGAGATCGCAATTATAAACTATTTAGAAAAATTTTTTAATATTATATTAACTATTTGAGAAAAGTTTAGTTTATTGAGTCACTTTAAGTTAAAAGAAGCCTATTTCATGTAAGGCAGATTTTCCACCCTGCTTATAATAAATTTGCAGGCATGATGTTATTATGTAAAATAAAAAAATAAAAAAAAATAAAAAAAGTGTCCAAAATAAGTGCAAATAATAATTTAAAAAAAACAGTTAAGACTTACGTGTGTAGCAAACTTATCAACTAAAGATATTGGAGAGAATAACATCAAATCTATTACTATATAGTAATTTACAGAATCTTTTAAAAACATTTAACAGAATTAACATAATATATATTACTATCAGAATAAGCTAAAATATTATATTAAAAGTCGCATCTTAATTTGAATTACAAGCATTATTTATACTTATTAAAAGCATAAAAAATGTTTATGTAAAAAAAAAGAGAAAAAGGAGTTAAAATTGTATATCTGCTATATACCGCAAGGATTTAAAATAGAGCTTCTAAGTAAAATTTAATTCCTACTTTTGGCTAGCATAATATTAAACGACTACTTGCTTATTGTGCATAAAATAGCAAAAAAGTATTACAAGCTTACCCTGGATTATATAACTGAGAGCCTAAAAGCAATTTTATACAAATTCTGCTCAACTAGAAACTATAGTATTTCTGGGAACAAATTAATAATACATGCATACAATTCATAAGCTTTTTAATCTTTAAGCGAATATGAAATCAATTTATAAGTGTTTGACGAACTTCACGACCTATCTGCTGTGACTTTTAGATTTCTCTCCAGTCCCGCAATTGTTGGATGCAAACATCTTTTAGAAACTTTTCTTCTATAATAAATTATTAGCTTGTAGCTTAAGTGGAAGTACCAGATGGTGGAACACGGTGGCCCATTTTGAAATCTAAATGCCGCGTTGAAACTGTGATCGAGTTGTGTCGATGGTAGAAAAAAAATACAAAAGTTATTTTCCAATTTTCAATGTCCCGCAGTGGACTGATCGTTAAGACACGTTTCCCAGCAGATCACCGAAGTCAAGCATCACTGACTGCGGTCAGTGTGCGGGTGGGTGACCACTTTGGATCAGTCTGCGTAGGGACCGAGGGCGTGCGGTATTGGTCCTAGTTAAACTGTTCTACCGTAAAGTGCTCGACTTCGCGGGCTACCGAAGCGGGGTGCCATCCCCTCTGCAGTGGATCAAAATTGTGATGGCATGTCTTCGGATCATCCTCAGGGATGTTTCCCAGACCGTCGCCAATAGCCCATTGTGCAGCTCTAGTGCGACGTAAATAAACAAATCAAATCAATTTTCAAGAGTAGTATTGGGGCTTCTATGGCCGAGCAGTATCATCCACCAAGTGCTGTGCAAAGAGTGGAGGTAGCGGGTTCAAACCCAAAGCCGGACTTACGTATAAGCTAAATAAGCTGTAGCTTGGGGCCCCGAGATGACAAGGGCCCCCAGATCCTATTTTCCACCCTATTTTTTTAAAGTTTTATTCGGAGCTGGGGCCCTCAGAAGCCCAAAATGCATTTTTTTTTCTTTTTTACATTGTCGGACATAATAAATATAAATAAATGACTGAATAAAACATTAGTAGGGAACATATCACCTTTCAATCAATTTGAGTATTAATAATTTTATCAATTTGAATCAATCAATTTGGAGCATTAATAATATTTATAAATAAACAATTTTTTAGTTTAAAAGGTAAAAAAGTTTTTTTTTCCCCATCATTCGATCATCAGACTATTTAATATTTGTTTCTAAGGATCAGAATTCCCTTTTATTTTACTTTAAAATTGTACAAATGATGTATTTAATGCTTTCATGTGATATGCAGCAGTTTTAAATAGCACTTTAAAATATCTAAAAAAGTACAGAAATTGTCAGTTCAAAAAAAAAAAAAAAAATTAACTAATACTTTTGAATAAGAATTTAAATAACTACACACGTTTGTTTTGCTATCTCATTCTATATAGCATTATTTAGAGTAGACAGTTGCGTGTGGGTGTGATGATGACGTAATAAAAGAGGCATACAAAAAAAGCAAATTTCATTTCAGTTAAAATCCTCAATATCATATTTTTAAACTCCTCGAAAATGTAGTAAAAGAGATATACAAATAAACTGTCGCAAACAAATTAATATTAAGTAAGAACGAAACAAAAATGATATCGAAATATGCTGAATCACTAATAAGACCGGGATGAAAGACATCGAAGCCTATTTGATTGAATAGTATAACTAGAAGGTGTTTCAAAAATTCTGAAATCTATCAGGCTCTAATTTTTTTTCTGTCACAAACTTTATCAGTAATTAAAAATAATAAATTCGTTAGATTTCAATATTGGTTCTGTTTTTACGTTGATTAAATGTTAAACATTAACAGATATTTGTGTTTTAAAACATTTCATTCTATAATAAGATAATTATTCTACAATTGTAATTATCTAAAACTAATTGCTAATTGATATAAAGCTTTAGTGTGTTCCATTGATATGTTGAATGCTCGTTTTGGCTGGATGCCCGGGATAGTTGCTCTTTCACATCCTGCCACTATACACCATCAAGAGCAGAGCTGATACTTTAAACTCGTATGACATTTATTCTCTCTGAATAAAAATAAACTAATAAATTTGGCGGGGATAGCCTGGTTGATAGGGCGTTGGACTCGTGTTCGTGAGAATGGGAGTTTGAATCCAGCCGGCAGAAGAATACCCATGTATGAATTGGTGACTGGTGTATGCTAAATCTGTCAGGGTCACAAAGTCCTCCAAGTTCTCATAACAAATAAATACCTCTGGGTTCTAATCTAGCAGTTCCTTTGTCTTCGGGATTGGGTTCAAAATTACAAGGCCAAGGAGTTAAATATTATTAGTCGTAAACTCGAAATTGGGTCGGCTGTGCAATGACTGTTATAAAATAAACTAATAAATTTGGCCGGGATAGCCTGGTTGATAGGGTTTAAACTCAAAATTGAGTCGGTTGTTTAACGGCGGTTTTGAAAAAAATAAAACTAATAATCAATTTGTATTTTCTTGTTTTCTTTCTAACTCTTGACATATTTTCTATGCACATTCAAAATTTCATGTTTCTAAGTCTTATAGATTTTGTAACGTAAAGAAAAAACAATTGAGAAAAAAATTCGCGAAAAAATCATTAAAAATTGTAAATAAAATATATTCAAAATGAATCTAAAATAAAAAAAACTTTGCTAAATATATAGTGGCCCAGCACGACAAATTTTTACTCTGTGTTTAAAATGTGTTTCTTTTCCCCTCGTTCAAAAAATATATGCAATAAAAGAAAGGTTCTACATAATAGTCTCATCACAATTAATATATTTAACAATAAAGTAATATTATCAAATTTTTTAATAATATTAAAAAATAATATTAATAAATAATAATAGAAAATTTAATAATATTAATAAATTTTTTATCAAATTTTTTAATAATATAATGTTAATACTCAACAATAAAAAATAGTGACAGTTTACTTTAGGTGCATATAAATGGAATTGAATTTATAAGGGCCCCATCATTTTCAGTAGCTTATGGCCCCACCAAGCTTAAATACGGCCCTGTTCAAACTCCGCTGTTACCCTGGATGTATCTTCGTGCTGTAGAGCAGAACTCTCCACCTCTGGCAACACTTCACATGTTTTCCCCATTAGCGTGCGAAGAGTCATAGAGGGAAGAAGTAGTACGCTAGTTCTCTCTTGATTTTCATATAGATTAAAATCTTTTAAGTTGGAAAGCTATATGGAACTGAAAACTACACTAAACATGGTTCTAAAGAAAAGTATCACGGAAATTTTAAGGAATATTTTTATTAAGTAAGAAGGAAAAATATTTAGAAAAGGGAAGAGGAGGAGAGGGAAGGAAGAAGGGCCAAAACCGTGAAACCGGTCTCTCCCCAGATGGCGTATTCGAGCGTTGCGATCGCCAATTGTACTATCTGTCCTTCTATTGGACAAAAGTTTATAAGCCTAAATTGAGTACACAAGCCTGCAAAAGTGTGTAAATCCTACAAAAAATAAATAAAAGAGTAATGTTTATCTCTCACCCTCGTTCTTCAGTGGACTGATCGTAAGACACAGTTCCCAGTAAAACACCGAAGTTTAGCATCACTAATTGATTGGATGATCACTTTGATCAAGCTGCGAAGGGAATGAGGGTGCGTGGTATCGGTCCTCTTTAAACTGTTCTATCGTAAAGTGTTGGACTTAGAGTGCAGGTCGTTGGGCTATTAAAGCGGGGGAGCCATCCCGCAGAGGATGAAAATTGTGATGACTTGCTTTTGGATCATTCCGAGGGAAGGGTGCCGGCAGTGGGGTGCAAGAGTACACACCCCCTGGCTTTTTTTTTAAACAATTAAAGAGATACAGAAAAACAATTTTGTTATAAAAAAATTTTATTAAAAATATTTTTATTCAAAAACAAATAATTAAGTAATTATTGATACATAACAACTAAATTTCTGTTAATCAAACAAGAATGAATGGTGTTTTCAATAGAAATGTAAACAATAACAATCTCGAGCTGTATGCCTGCTCTAGTTCCGGTTAGAATGTTTGCAGCTGCTTACTACATGTTATTCTGCGAGGCGATATTTTCAAACGGATAATTTAGTTTTCAATAAAAGAAATAAATTAGATAATTTATGGGCTCAAATCTGCAGTATTTCATAAGATATTAATGTTATTATGTAATTCTGGTGAGTTTGAAATGAAAATTTGTTTTAGTTATTTAGAGATATATTGCTAAAAAAGGTGACATGGTTGCTAGATTTTGAATAACTCGCTTTTTTTGGAAGTCTTGATTTGGCCTCTTTCCATTTGTTTATTACTGTTTGTTCGTGTTGCAAGCTATGCACCATCTTACGTTAGTGTTAGCATATTATTCGAGGAGCAAGATGAGGTTAATAATAAGTATTCAAATATACCACGTTTGCAAGAATCTTAAAACACAATGACCACGTTGTGAGCCATGTGAAAATACACCGGAAACAGTAACCCGGATGTATAAGCGGCATACAGCTTGCAGCGCTCCAGTGTCGAAAACACCATCCATTGTAATCATCTTGTTTGCTGTCCAAATGTGTTTATAACTTTTTCAAAGAATTCTGAGTCATCTTTGATTCTTTTCTTATGCACACTGATCATGCACAAGCTTGGCAGATATCTAAGCAATATTTTTAAATTTGCTATATTTATATTATTTGCTATATATAAGCTACATTTCTAAATCATTTGATAAAATATAAATAATATTATAGTTTCTATTAGTTATTTAGTTTCACAAAGGTGAATAACACAAACTGAACTTAACTTCATCAACTTGTAAACTTCATCAACACAATAAATATTAGTTAGTAGGCGAAACTACTGTTTGTAGTTATTTGTGTTTCAAAGTCAGTAGCTATGCCAGCGCCATCCGTTCTACCGTAAAGTGCTCGACTTCGCGTGTAGGTCGTCGGACTACCGAAGCGGGGGGTACCATCCCCTCTGCAGAGGATCAAAATTGCGATGGCATGTCTTCGGATCATCCTCAGGGATGTTTCCCAGACCGTCGCCAATAGTCCATTGTGCAGCTCTAGTGTGACGTAAATGAACAACAGCCAGCGCCATCAATACAGTTTCTCGTTGCAAAATTTGCAAGTACAAGAAATTCGTACTTTTTCTTAAACATCTTGCTTCAGTCACTCGAAAAAATTGCTAAGCACCGTGACCCTTGCAAAATAAAATTGAAAACGCAAAACGACAAAAAGAAATGAATGATTCCTAAAGCCTCGATTCTCACTGCTTTGTCATGAA